CCCAAGGACACCGGCCGGGCTCCCGTCGCAGTCGCTGCTAGCCCTTGTTACTACCTCCGGGTCAGCTCTCAAGGCGTACGTGCCTGTACCCCAGGAGCTGACTGTTCTTATAGTGCTGAACGTTGCCATTGAGTTCATCGGCCCTCTCCCGTTATGGTTGACCGGCCCCCTCCCGTCATAGCTACTGGCGTTCGTGCCGGCGTATGCCGTGCCTGTGCCTAACCGCGTGAAGTTGCCGCTGCCTCTTACGTCGCTCTGGCCGGCAGTGCTCTTCTTCTCCAGTTCCGTGGCGTCCCTCTGTAGCCTCTGCCTGCGGCGCCACCACATGATGCCTACGAATACCACTACCATACCACCCACGCTGGACCCGATGCCCAAGCCCACGGTTACTGCCTTCCCGATGCCCCCCTCCCCACTGTGCATTTTGTCGTCGTCGCCGGTGCCATTTAACCCCGTGGGAGAACTCGTGTGCATTCCGCCCAGTGCAGTGCCGCTTTCGCTCGTTATCGTCTGCGGGCTCGTTGCGTCCGCCGCCGGCGCGGCCGTCAGGGTTGGAGTCGCCGAGAATGATGCGGCATTTATATCAAACGTCTGAACGGCGGCGGCATTGCCTGGTGTTGCAGCAATCAGAGGCCCAAAGATGGCAGCTGGCGTGCTACAGCAACGCGTCTTCTCAGCCATCGACTCGCAGCAGAATTTGCCTGGCACGCCAAACCCCTGGCTATCACACTGCCACACCTGCACGCCGTTGCGTCGGAAGTCGTAGGCATACTTATTTGTTAGCGTGTCATGGTCTAGATGGTTGTTAGTTATGCCTGCGTATACACTTTTGCCCTTCTGGTCTTCTCTTTTTTTTCTGTTTATTTCTTTTCCTTTCCCATTTTATCTGTTCGTCTTTCCCGCCCCAGTCTTGCTTTGCCGTTTCTAATAGGTGTTCTTTTCCACCCTCCCGCTCACGAACGACAGACGAGACGGTTCTTGTTTGGGACACTTCCGGGATATGAACTTACTTAGTACACAATTCTGAGGACAGACCGGGCTCTGCCATGTCGGATCAGAGCATGTTCCTCGCGCGTACGCAATGCCCGTACTATTAGTCGTATTATCATCCCTACACAGCCCGTTGCTCAAGCACGCATTTATATTGCCGCAGCACATGCTGACTTTGGCGTTGGGGTCACATGGCACATCTTTGGCGTGGTCGCCATTCGGGAAGAAGCACAGGTTTGCCTTCGCCTGGACACCGCCTGTGAAGCTGACGCCGCTGAGAAGAGCCAGCCACAGTACCCAAGCTGCACTTATTGTATTTCCTGTTGTTGTAATTGCCGTCTTCATCGTGGCTCTGTTGCTCAGTCGATAATCCGGAATAGGGGTGGTCAAGTTAAATGAAATCAGGGAAAAAGAGCGTATGTGCGAGAGATAGACACTAAGCAAGAAACTGATGCTGCTAAAAAATAGCGACATCTAGTCGTGGTGTGTTAGAAGGCGCTAATTGTGTAAACAGTGAAAGCGAAAGACAAGCTTGACGCTTCAACCTAAGTATCCCAAAAGTATCAGGGAACAAGGCTCACAAGGAGAGAGGCAGGGGAATGAGTTGTTTATTAGACAGTGGTAGAGCACACTGTCTAAGTATTAACCATACAGTAGGTAGTATTCAGGGGGTAAGTAAGCAAAAACTCTCGCTCTTTCTCTTCTTGGAGGAGGGGGCGTCCTTCCCCCCTGTTTCCCGCCATGGATATCGAAGAAACAAAAAGGCAGTCGTGCATTATAACCGGTCTCATATAGCTACTAATAGAAAATGGTGCAAAAAACAGACAACAGGATCTACTACAGCCTAGATCACATAGTAGGTTATAGGAGGCTAAGGGCTAAAAGTACCTTAGACAGGGGAATTCTTTATTTAAGAATGCAGACATACAACCCTTATGAAGCAGCTAGGTTAGGATTAGAAAAGCACTCTATTTATATTAGGTCAAAGCGGGAAGAACAAACAGGTTAATCTCCATGGGCTGGGACTAGGGCTCCATCTCTCATGCCACCTTTCCTATACTGCCCCTGTCCCTGCACAAAGGTTGACTCGCTCCCAATACCCCCTAGGACAACTCGCACACTTACTCCGTACAAGAACACGTTTACGCTTAGACCAACTAGTAAACGGACAGAGCCTTACCTATATAATCTCGTTTATCTCCTCTCGCCCTAGGATCAAGGACTACGTATAGCCAACTGATGCACCACTACGGCATTCCCTAAGTCAATCTTTGCCTAGATAGGCTAAACCCCATCTACAATACGCCTTGAGCGGGGAAGCTTAGGTTGATGCTTTCCAACTTTAGCCCATGATTCGTCAGACTTCGCAATAGGGGGAATTAAAGTAAGTAAATTAGCCCAGGAGTACTAGGATATTCACCCACCTTTCCTACGTACAATTAACACTACACATATAGAACAAAAGAAGAGAACACATCCCATGTCTGGGCGCACGAACTGGGCAATCGTCACGAGAACAACTTCTAGGTATGTTCTACGATGCGCATCCAGTAAGATGCAGCAAGAAGATGGCATTTGCTGTCATCGAAGCATCTAAGGAGAAAGGTTATTGCCTAGATGGAGTGGCGGTTCAGGTCCTTGATTGAGTGATTCAAGAGCGCCCAAGCCAGGACTCGCGGACCGAGGACTTCATTGCTCTAGCACTGAGTCCATGGGCCATAAGGCTTTGGACGCTGCAGGAAGAGGTTCTTGCCAAGCTTCCTTTCCTGCTCGGCTTCAATCTCGTGACGGATTTCAAGACCCTGCTCATCGAGGATGTGGAGTTGTTCATCAAGACACGCGTGGGTCTTCTCCACACTGACAAGACTAGAATCCATCAACGGCTAACCAGGCTATTCAGAGGTAATTAGATATGTTTGCTCCGTAACTAGCTTCAAAAACAGGCTCTTTTCCAATGTACCTCGTCCCGTTCTGTCTTTCCGGCCGAGTTTTCGCCCTCACGCCTCCACCTCGGGGTCCCACGTGCCAATCCAGCTCCCAGCTAGCCAAACTCTTCCATTGTCTGCAACCGGTGTTAATAGCCCTAGAGTAGCAGATGTACTGTCCTAGGTTACAATGCGATCGACGACCAGGACGTCAGATGAGACGATTAGCATTTCCACTCTCCTAGGGTCAGACGTTATCCCTCTCCCGAATTTGGAAACCGAGTCCAAAGAGGAATTATGTAAGCAGCGCATGATCTAGCTCCTTGTTAACTTGTCTATTGTCCCTACCTTTCTCGCGTTCTACACTAATATTTGTTAGTAGATTAATATAGGCAACACACTGTAATATGTTAATAGCTCCTATAACCTACGTTGTACTAGCCTCTTCCTTTTGCTTGCTTATGCAACGCCTCTGCCTGTTACAGGTGCTATAATATTCTTTGCTGCTTCCTGAACAGCCCACAAGAACCTAGACAGCGCTAACAAAGCGAGAGTGTCTGGATTAATTCTCTCCTACTCTCTGGCACAGTAGAAAGCTAGGTGCCCTGGAATGCGCTGTTCTGGGACAGATAAATCCTGAGAATTACACCATGGTATGCCACAAGGTGACGCAATTGCATGAACCTAGTGGAAGAATGAACATGTACATAGTGGCCCATGGGCATCATTTTGATGGTATGACCCTCAGCCCGCGCCTGGGTCACATTCACCTCTCCGTCTCACCTCCACTTGTTCATGACGTACCCCTCCCTTAAACCTGTTAAAAGAGTGTAAGGGTTGTACGCAGTGCCATCCTCTTGTGCTTTTGCCTATAACTTTTTGTTTGACCTAATCAAGAAAAATTTAAGAAGTAGACAGAATGCAACACCTATGACTGCAAAACCCGTCATAAGGAGAAATGCCATCAGATACCTGGGCTGTCTCTGTCGGGGGAAAAGTAAGGAGCAATGACATTGCCGATCTGCCCCAGCACGTTGATAACAGGTATAGCCGTCGCGCGTTTCTCTGGGGTATGGCCCAAAGTCCCAACTAACCAGGTGTTGATTAAAGGATTGGCAGCAAACATACCACCGATGTATGAGAATGACGCAGCGTAAAGGGCTAGAACGTTGCTTGTCGCTGTGCAGACGGTATACCCCATTATGGCAACGATGACAGGTCCGATCATGTGATAGCTTCGCTCTTTGAAGTAATTCGAGCTACGGGCGTTAAATAAGATGTGACTGCGGCAAAGACATAAGGAGGTGCCGTCAGAAGGAGTGTCGTGGTCCTCGACTCAAAGCCGAATCCGGGGACAATGGACGGAAAAAAGTTGAGGAATCCGTAGGCGGCAGAGATAGAAAGGCGACAAAAATCCAAGTTTTGTAGTCCATGCAGGTAAGCTTGAGTCCATACCAGATGCTAGTGCTGTTAGCTAGGGGCAGTGAGACTCTATCGGCTTGAATACGTGCAATGGCGAGAAGGCGTATATCCTCAGTCAGTGACGATCTCGCTGAACCTGTCTCGGAGTGAGGATAGTCAGGAAGTAGCACCATGGCAACTAGAGCGCAGCAACATTCTGCTAAAGCCAAAACGACGAAAAGCCATTGCCAGCCGGCCATGCCTCGGGACCCTTCAAGACCTTCATACACGCCTGTGGCAATGAGGCCGGAGCTAGCCATGGCAAGAACTAGGCCTGGTAAAGGACGGCGGTTCTCAGGGCAATTTCCTTTCTCGTATACCAGGAAGACATGACGTAAATTGCCTGTTTCATTAAATGAGCCAAATTGAGCAATCTTGGTTGGAAGGACGCTTACACCTGGAAGAAGAGAGGCTTCACACAATCCGAGTACAACTCTGCATGCCACCAGTCCGTTATAGCTTTTAAAGCCAGCCATTAAAGCATAGACTCCTGACCAGAAGATTGCACAGCATGGAAGATAGAGGCTGGGCCGAACGTAAGGCAAGATCATGTTAGATGGGATTTGTGCAGCCACGTAACTACGTCAAATACCGGTCAGCGATCACAGTTGTTTACTCCATTGACAGTTCATATAATGAAAGGTCTAAACATACTCAGGAACCAAAACTGCAACTGCCGTGGCAAATTGTGTGTCAGTAATCATCAAGTCAGCTTCAAAGCTGGTAAGGCGTGCTTGACTGCAAGTAGTGTCAGCCGCTCAGCTTTCGCTGCCCACACTGCAACGAGAGAAGTAAGCTCACGAGATCAATGCTCTTTCAAGGTAGCTAAATAGATACAGAACCCATAGCATTGGCATCAGTGTCATGTCAAGGCGCCTGACGAGTTTCTTCTCAAGGTCTTGCCAGCTCTCAAGCCCGAGCGCCTCAATAGGCGCCGTAACTCTCGGCAAGTACTGTGTATTCTTCTCCTCGTCAGATACCTGTTCCTTATGTTCTAGGATAGCTTCGGCATTTTTATCGCGAAGAGATTCGGTCTTTGCATTATTTATAACGCGCAGTCCTTCGTCTGTGAGCTCGACGCTTTTGCAGTTGATAGTATTCATTTGCGCAGGTTAACGGTACAACGAGCCAAGGATATTCCCCGTGTTTCAAATCGGATTGGTAGGTTGTAAATAACCAGGGAGTGAAAGTAATCGTTTGAAGGTTTGATTCATTCTTCAACGTGGCTCGAAGTCTTAGGCCTTTATACTTTTATTTATTCCTTAGCATCTTCTCGGGATACCGGCTTCCTTAACCAGTCCACTCCCCTTCTCTTGAGAATGCAGCTGTTCAAGACCCAAGTCCGACAAATGCAGCGCCCTACCTGGAACCCCTTGGCTTCTGGGATTAAACTTTATGATGAGGCGTCAAAGGGCCTCATTTCATGCTACGACGCAACGATTGCTATGCGCCTAGAGCAGACGTGCCCACAATGGCTAAGACTTCCAAGAGCGGGATGACGTGCTCTTTCTCCACTATATTTCTTAGTAAATGCTTTACATTCTATCCGCGGGTATTTGCTTAGTAGCCGCTCTTTGAACATCCGTCTCAGGCACAAGTTATCCGTCTTGGCCAGTTTTACAACGTAACGTTTGTCTATGGATCTAGTAAACAGCTTTCCTTGAACCGAACAAATGGGGGTATATAAGCTGATAGTCTCTCTAACTTGTGCAACTCTTTATCTAAAGTCTCTTGGTATGATTCCCTATCAAGACGCATAGATCATTTTCTGGGTATGTTATGTCGTAGCATGGCCGAATCGATTTAACCTCCTCGACCGTAATTCTATTTTCATCGGAGACTTTCTGAACCGAATCATACGCATACATTAATTAATGATACTCCGAGATTGGTACGTCGACTCTCAATGATAGTGATACTTTTGGTTGCTGCAGTTGACACAGCCTGGGAAAATTCGGAACTAGTAATGTGGTGGGGGTAGCTGTTAACGTTCTATCTCTTGGCATTAGCCGAGGTGACGAACCACTCGCATTTGGATATCACGGTCTCCTCGCACGGAAATTTCAAATACTTAGTTTATTCAGAAATCTACAGTGCTAAGGAGTCACCAGAAATCTCTGTCGCAAGCGTTTTCCCAACATAGCAATGGTGATGCATGCTTTTTGTAGTATTCCTCGGCTTATCTAGCTACGTTCTAGAAGACCTTCCGTTGTTCATGGCCCCAGTTAATACTATGGGGTATTTCTAAGCTAGATTGTGTGGCCATAATGTCTATACCACCTAACTAAGTGGGGCTATACATATACGTGTAATATGTTTGTCTTGCCGAGGCAAAATTCCCCGCAAAGCAGAGCACTTTATCCTCTTTTTATCCCTCACCCAATCCACTTGGTTTAGGGCATTGCCGACCAACTCAGTACAGAAGACGTTGTTGCCTTGCAGATTTTCAACACAAGTGGTTGCTGAAGCTTGGCCCTCGAACTTGTTATTCGCTATTCACTTTTGGTCCGCTGCGTTTGCTGGCCGGAAAATATGGAGATCATATGGCAATCCACCGGAACAACAGGGAAAAAACGCTCCTCGCAAGATATGTACCCATTCACGATGTATCATTTCTTATTGTAACCGGCTAACATCAATGTTTCTTTTACCCTGCAATAGTTGCCGCGCACGTAAGAAGCGCTGTTATCATATTGCAGCAATTGAAAGACCGTACCCAGCTAACAGTCCGCCACCTGAGGTCGGCTCAGGGATGGGCACCCGCGATTGTAGCCCAAGTCCCAGTCGCGTCAGTTTATATAATCCCGAGTCTGTACTGGCAGATTTGTCAACACATCCTGCAACAACAGTCAACATAATTCGGCCTGAATCATGTCAAATTCACCCTTACGGCCGAAGAAACCATATGCGACCAACCGTAAACGGGTCTGCCGAAGAGAACGCACAGCGCCAGTTGCATTGGTACACTAGACACAGGCGTAGAACTGCTCCCCTCAGACTATCTGAACATTATAGACGCTATCTGGAAGACGAAGGTGCTTTTCTTCACCTACCTAGGTCAACAGCGGACATGCTTCTGCCAATCTATAACACGTTTTTGGACGACCTGATCCCTGTTCTAAACGGTGGAAGCATGTTTCGGAGCTACAGTAACGGAAATGCCTCTGTTTACTTAGTGCGGGCAGTATGCTTAGTGGCGTGCAAAATCAAGCAAGCTACACCCTTTCTACGACTACGTGAGGATGGGTCAATCTTGAGCCAAACAGACTTCGCATCAAAGCTGCTTGCTGGTCTCGATGCGGCGATGAAGGCGGATCTTGAGCCCGACCGAGTGACCAAGATTCAAATCTTGGCGTTAATGCATTTACACAACGATGGGCTTGGAGGAGTGGATCGTTCCTCAAGCTATTTATCTCAAGCCATCTGTGAAGCTTGGTCAATCTCACTTCACGTGAATGTCCCAGTTAACGCTGACCAAGAGCAATGCGACCTTCTGTGGTGGGCGTTGAGGAATTTCGACCGACTCAATAAACCGGTCATGGGTGCTGCTCCTTTCATCATCGACGATACCGATATTGGGATTAGCCGCACCATCCCCCGACAAGAGAGTTACAGATCACAGCTTATGGCAACCTCTCTACGGCTAGGAGATTTGATGACGAAGTCGACTCGGGTCTACAAAGCTAGCTCTAAAGCCACAGCCGATGACAGCGATGATTTCCCGACCTTGGCGGAATTGACAGCGGATATTTCTCTAGACCGGTTTGAAAAGTCACACAGATGTACGTTGTCTATTAATGAATTTGTACGAAAAGTAATGCTAAAAAGACCAGCGTACCTCCACATATGGTATCATGTTGCCGCAATGCTTTCTTGTCGATATAGTGGACCGGGAAGCATCCAGTATATGCGACGTCTGGCATCCGCGGATTGCGTACTCGGAATCATCACACAAGAAACGCCCGATGGTCTACCGCCGCTCCCACTGGTGCCTTATGCAATGTCAATGTCTACTACGGTCATCTACCGGGCTTTACGAGACGGTGAGCGTTTGTTGGATCTAGCGTATAATGACCTCGAGGCTTGTTCCAAAAACCTAGAGGCCCTCAGTCTTATCTGGAGTAGTGCAAAAGGCGTTGCAAGACTCGTCAAAAGACTACGTCGGTTCATAGGCCCAGACATGTTCTATAAGCGCTCGCTCGATGATACCGAGTGTACTTGCAGAAACTTAGAATCAGAATCTAAGAAGCAAGTTCCCAGCGACAGTCGCATTAGTGTGGCTAATTTACGTCAAGAGGTGGACTCCGACTGCTTCCAACCCCCAAATGATTCTCTTTCCAGCCCAGCTCAGGCTCAGGGTAGTTTAGGAGATGAAGATCCGATTGACACTCCGGCTGTGCAAACCCAATACAACGCGACTTGGGTTGGAACTGAACTATTCTACACGGATATCGATCGGGCATTTTACGACTTCTGCGATTACGGAATGCCTAGTATATTTCGTGATCCAGCTACATTAGAAGTTTTACGGGTGGACGACAACCCTATCGTTTCGCCTTTCCAGCAATAGTTTTAGCTACTTATTTAAGTACATATCACAGATTGACTAATAGGGTCATAAAAGACGTAGGGAACCCGGCTTGGATCCATAGGGTTAAGGCTGTCCCGGTCGGAATCTTTGAATACATATCTCCTTTCGTAAGCCACTGCACAGGGCCGAGATGATCTCACGCAATGCTATGCGATGGAATTGAGATTATCACACCGGTAGACCAAATAGTAGACTTGTTGTATTATAATCAAGGCGTGCTTATGCTAAAATCAAAACTAGGGCCCTGCTTAGTTATAACATATTAGTTCAGCATGCAATTTATCCCTGCGCTCCAAGTCAGTGAAGGGCAGCTGACCAAGTCACGTTGTTGACCTCTCAAAGATAGTAATGGTTCCATCTAGACCTGAATTGCAACTTGCTTTGTTGGGATTCCTATTAGTGTCCTAGACCAGTTGAACTTGTCGTTTCATCCGTCCTGTTAGTTCCCTAGGTTGGAGATATTAAATGACCCATCGGTACTTTTGCTGGAGTAACAATGACTTTGCTTTGCGCACACTTCAGAGTGCACATGTCCATTAGTGTTCTTAATGACTGATGCGAAAAGCCTTTAATTGTTGCGTCGGTTGCACCTCGGTATCTTGCTATGGGGTTTTCCTCTACATTGTCGTCTGATATACTAGACGATATTGTGACTTTACAGCGAGCTAGCAGTTTGTGAGTTCTTTACAGTGGCATAAATTATGTCTTATTAAGCTATAAACTCAGCTTCACTAGCTCTAACCTGGGAAAGCTCTTGTTCTAGACTTTTAGCGTACCTGTCTCTGCGCTCACAGTATGATTTGTCCACTATTCAGTAATCATCAGTTAGTAACTAATACCTCAAGAAACCTACCGTTGTGCGTTTCTTAGCCGTTTTGACGTTTATCAACTGTTTTCTCTCTCTGTTTCTATCCCATATATAAGTCTTATTTCTTTTTATTAAGTCCTTATATTTATATACCATAAGTACTTATGTATAGTATTTACTAAGCACTTATTCTTTACTTTATAACCTGTTTATTCTTTTCATATAACTTATGCTATAGTTATTTTGTTCTAAGGAGTTATCTATATACTAACTTAATTGTCCTATTATTATAAAGGTCAAAACGCCTACGCTTGCCTTGTCTAGTAGGGTAATTCTTGCCTGTAAATTATTAGGTTGTAATAACTAGTAATTTTACTAGGTAATAAAGAGTTCCCTTAAGAATACAAAAATTGTTTTTGTAATAATATATTTAAGCCTTTAATATACTTATCCAGAGACTAATTATCTTTAAAAATTAGTTTCTCTAGTCTTAAAGTATACATAAGCTGCTAGATTTGTTACTACCTTTATAACTAGGTAAAGATTCTATTTAATATTTATTCTCTTCTTCTCAAGTACCATGCTTGCGAGTGTTACGTAAAGTGGTGATGTAAATGCGAGGTTCAATATAATATTGATATAAACGCATGCTAATAATTAAACCAGATATAGACCCCGTATTATACAAATGTAAAGCTGAACTGCATTTATATGACGGAGTGAGCACCAAAGAAAAGTGTCAACCTATTCCACCAATAGTCGGTATATATTCAATTGCAATCCATCATAACTAGGTAATCATTATCAGCACAGATGGTCATTTGCTACCAATATCCTTGTCCTCCTCTAAGGATTCAACTCAAGAGTCTAACTACATCAAATTACACAGAAATAACACGATCCACCCTCTTCAAATCGATTCCTTTATTCACGCAGCTTTGCTAAATCGTCATCATCATGAGGAGCCGCTGTTGTCCGCGCAAGAAAACGCGCCTCCAATCAATCCGTGGGCGTACGCGTCAATGATATTCTGGATAACACCGTAGGTTCCTCCGATAGTCAAGAAGACTGCCAAGAGGATCATAAGCCAATTTAGCCAATACACCGTCACCTGCCACCATGTTCCCTGGCGGTAGTGTTGGTGGTCAAAAATCCAGAGGTAGCCTGGGAGACCAAGCGCCAGAGGTGCGAAAGTCAAGCTTCCTGCCAGAGCAAGCAGGTAGTTGAATATGGGAATGCCGGATGCCAGGAGGTATGAGACAGCTGACATGGCGAAAGTGCATCCAATCCAGACGAACCAGTGGACAACCGAGTTCTTCTGCAGGTGAACTGACTTACGCAGAAGTCGAACGAAGAGATACTTGGCGGCAACGTGAATGTATAGACATGCGCTGACCATCAGACCGGTCAGGCCAATGCCATACGACACTTTCTTGACAACGTCACCAGCGCTCCCCAGAGAAGGGGACGCCACCCATTGGCCGCACCAACGGTAGACTACGAGAGACAAAGTCAAGTAAGAAGCTGTGACAACTCCCATGCAAAGATACACGGCCTTGTTGTAGTCTCTTGGTTTCTTCATTTCCGATATAACAGGAAGAAATGCAGAAGTGCCTGCGCCGGAACAGAAGATAGTAGCGACGGACGTGATGCCGGTGACAAAGTTAGGGTTGCCAATAACGTGGTATCCGAGATCGAAATCACCAGTCTGTGGAGCAGCGGCAGGTCTGTCCACCTGCGTGACGGCAACTCTGTGAAATTGTTAGCAAATGGATTGTTTGCATAGATCAATCAGCAGGTGGGACCTACACAACAATAAAGACGGCAATGTACACGGACAGGAACCCAGCCCACGTCAACCACGCGATTTTCTCAAACTTGCGAATGCTAGCAAGAATGAAAACTGCAGCTGTTGCAACCAACATGTAATAGTTGGTGCAAATAGCGTGGTTCGAGAGGGCGTTGAAAGCAACCGATGTACCAAAGATTCCGGACGCGCCAACAATCGCATACGTGACAAGAAATAAGACTCCAACAATTTCTTTGAGCCAGACACCCCCAACTACATGAGCCATATCGGCAATGGAATGACAACCAGCATGAGTGTTGCGGAAGTTTCCTTGGATGATGGCACAGTATGTATTCAGAAATTGCCAGCCCAAGACGTTGATGGCACCTGGGAGTGCGCCGAGGACATACATGGCGGAGGGAATCGTGAGAACGCCGGTAGCAAATATGACTGCAACAAGTTAGACTCAAATTTGGCCTATCGTAAAGAAGAAACCGCTTTACCCTTGAGAAAGATGACCGAGGCTTGAATCCAGCCAACTGTCCGGAAGTCAACTGATCCTTCACTACGCTTGAAGACCTCGAATGCATCCTCGGCGTTTTCGAGCTTGCCCGCGTCAATGCTTCCACTACTGCGAGCCGGCGCCGGCGTAATGGCGTCAGCCTTTTCTGAATTGGGTTGAGACATGTCACTGATGTTTGGCTCAATGAACCAATGTTCTTTTCGTTGAGGAAAGGCGTATTGAAGTTATCGCTGCAGGGTTTCAAGATATCGCCTCAATACCATTTATAGATCATATGATGTTCGCCAGACTGGGAGCATTCACCAGTAAGAACAAGAACACAGGTGTTGCTTATCTCGTGACGGCAAAGCGTTTCCGACCAAAGATAAGCATCAATATGGCAGCTTCAGATGCAGCTCCAAGGTTTGTGGGTCACCGTGCCAAGTCGGCAGTCAAAGTTGAAAGTGCGTGTCCAGGGGTTTGACGCGAGTTTGCGGGGTTTAGCAAGGCTAGCGCAATAAGGTTGGGGTACGGAATTGCCAAGATGTTGGAGTAAGCCTTCGAGACCTCAGTGCAGAGTCGGAGTCGTGATAGATCTACTACTCCAAGATCCACTTCTTGGCGAGCCGAGGGCGATTCGTAGGATAGGCATGGGGACAAATTTGGAGGTGCTGCATAATGAAATGATGTACACGTATTTGGCGAGGTGTCAATGTTCAACTCTTTACTTTGAGACGCAAGGCCGGGAATATGGGTGGAGGGGTTTTTGATCTTTTCTTGTAGCGCTAAATGGGATGCTTTGCCAGCGGTAGTGGTAGTATTGTGGGAGAACGCCGCTATGTCAAAGGCAAATGGACATAAGACCTGGGTGATCGGTGAAGTTAGTATGTCCTCCTACTATGTGGGTCTGCTTGGGCAACTACATTTCTGTGCTTCGACATGAATTCCACTTGCTTCACATTCGGACTGGTCTTACAGAAAAAAAAGAGAAAAAAGAAAAGCAGGGGAAAAGCCATCTGATCGGTCATCAAGTGAAATGGTATAGAATCTACGACAGACCACGAGCCCTGATATAATTCCTCGCGACCAGATGACATCGAGTTGATGACTGACTGTTTCCTATCATGGTGATTTCTTGAGAATAGCGCCTCTCTCTGCGGGCATAATGGCTCCCGGTGAAGGCGCAGTCCTTGCTTTGAAGTCGTCACATATCTGCTCCATTGTAACAAACTCAACACCCTCATGCTTCTTCATGTACTCAATGAGTCTCTCATGCATCAAAAGTGCATGTGGACGACCCGATACGTCTGGGTGAATAGTCAATGGGAAGATAAACTCATCGTACTCGCGGTAGAAGTAGTCAAAGTGGTCTCTCCAAATGTCCTCCACATCTCTCGCATTAACGAAGCCGTGACTGTTGGGTGCGTCTTTAATGAACATCATGGGCGGAAGGTCGTCCAGATACCAGTTGGATGGAAGCTCTACTAGCCCGGTCTCTTGGCCCCTAACGAGCGGCTTCATCCACTCGCTAGGTTTCTTCTTGTAGTCGATCTTAGTCCATTCATCACCAGTCCGCAGGTAGTACGGCTGGCAGTCATGGTGACTCATACTGTGGTCATATTCGATACCGTAATCAAGCAGGAGCTGTGCACCCTCCTTGCTTGTTTCCCACCACGGAGCAACGCTGCCTCTAGGAGGCTTGCCCACAAAGTCTGTAAGCATTCGATATGTCTTGTCAAGGATCTCCCTTTGTTGTTCAATCGTCATATCAGTTGGGTTTTCGTGCGAGTAGCCGTGGAGACCAATCTCATGGCCTGCATCTCGAACCGCGGCCATATCGTCTGGAAACGTTTCAAGGCTGTGTCCGGGAATGAACCATGTCGCTTTGATATCGTATTTGGCGAGCAACTTTAGAACTCTTTGGACGCCGATGGTTCCCGCAAAGTATCCTGGAAAAAGTTAGATCTACCTTCGGGTCACCAACTGCAGCACAAGGTCTTGGGGTCAGGTTCACCTCTGCTGATGTCGTTTGAGGAGTCTTCTCCACCATACGATCCCAGCCACCCAGCGACTGCATCAACATCGACGCCATAACTGACGAGAACACGCTTCTTTCCCATGGTGTTTCAGGATTGGGTATTCGCCAGATTGCCGTTCTTGGTCGGATGAAGAAGGGTTGGGCGTCTTCCGCGTTGTTATTTGAGATAGTGGTTTACGCGCGTTCGCAAGGGATCCAGGGTCTAGTGGATAGGAGACGGTAGCAAAGCTGATTGGGAGTGACAAACGTGCTTTTATGGAGAGAGTCTACGGGCACAGGTCAATGAACCAGTGAGGGGTAAATCTTTTCTTATCGAGTCGTTACCGATAGTTTACCGAACATTACGATAGCGTAAGTTCTCTCATAAACTTTAACATTTGGTGGGGTAGCTCGGCCTATCTAACTGATTAAGGCGAATCCAGATATTATGGCAGCGTTTATTGGGGTTTTACACTGTGTTAATCGAAACTTCTTGACATGGAGGTTGTCCGGCCTCGGATTAGCATTGGAGTTACTGATAAGAGGAGACGATGGAGTTGGAGAAGAAACTTGCCTGATATGCGCTAATAGCCGACTCCGCACCCAAGATAAGGATTATCTCCAACTCACAATGTCAGTCTGGAGTTTCAATATCATCGCATGGTTAGCAGGTCTGACAGTTAATGATATGAGAACGATACCTTGAACCATGCTCTTTTAATAAGAAAAAAACCCGGTAGATCAATTCAATTGCAGCTCTCCATTGCATATCATCGCCTGTGGTCGGTTCAACATTGGCCACCGACGACGAATATGTCATGGGCAAACATTCCACGCAGAATGCGCGCAGGGCAAATCTCCGAGGTTGGTGTCCCCGATGTCTCGTTCTGTTTTCTCTGACACTAATTTCAACCCAGTATCACAAACCATACGAGCTAGTCGAGAAGGATGTGCCAAGCATACGTGAGAATGAACTTCTTATCAGAGTTCACGCGGCCGGATTCTGTCACTCAGATCTGCAGGTTCTACAGGGTCAGTTCGGATCACGCTTAGGCATGACCGCGTCTCATGAGCCTTCTGGTACCGTCGTCCTTGTTGGAAAGAATTGCGGTAATAACTGGAAAATTGGTGATCGAGTCGGAGCTCTCAATTTCAAGAACTCCTGTGGCCAATGCAGCGGCTGCGGGTTGGCGAAGCGCACATACAATCGACTAGATCCCCGCTTCTGCAGCAGAAGAGAAACCGCGGGATTCCAACATGACGGAGCATTCGCAGAGTATCTTGCTATAGACCCCGAAACGACAGTTCACTTACCTTCGTCCTTGCCGTTCGACCAAGCAGCGCCACTGATGTGCGCTGGTGCGACAGTATGGGGCTCATTAGAAAAAGCCACAGCCGGGCTAGACTCTGGAGACACTGTAGGCATCGTCGGCATCGGTGGTCTCGGCTTCCTCGCTTTACAATTTGCTAGAGCGATGGGCTTTCGTACAGTAGCAGTTGACAGTCGCCTAGCAGGGAGACAATTGGCTACTGAGATGAAAAATCAGGATTTGAAACCCTCATTAGTTGTCGACTCTGGCTCAAAAGATGCCGCAGCTACGATCATGGAATTTACGGGAGGAGAAGGACTCGCTGCCGTTGTAGTCTGTACAGACTCTCTGTCAGCCAATAACTGGTCTCTAACACTGCTTCGGATTGGAGGTGTAATGGGTATTCTAGGTCTACCAGCAGAAAACTGGAGGTTTGATTCAAGTGTGATCATTTTTCGGGAGCTCACCATTCGCGGAAGCTATGTGGCTAGTAGAGAGTCAACTGAAAGGATGATGGAGGTTGTAGAGAAGGCTAACATCCGATCACACATCACCTTGGTGTCCTTTGATGAGATTCCTGGAATCCTCGCAACGTATCAAAACAGCGATTTCAAGGGTAGACTTGTAGTTAAAGTAACAGAATGAAACAGGGATACACTCAAGGTTGAGGTGGTAGGGGTCATAACTCATAACTTGAATGACCGTGAAACTTGAACTGAAGAATGTAAAATAGGAAGGCAGGCTTCAAACTGTTTTGCGCATGAAAGTCGTGAGGACCGAGGTGTCGATGTAGATCGTGCGGACCAGCAGTTTCAACCGAACTGGGTTTCGGTAATCTCGGCATATTCGATTATCTAGCAGTGTGCTCTCTTCCCCTTTCTCTATTACTCTCCAACTGTTGCATTTTGTGCTACACACCCAAAGTTTTATCGAATGCTGAGGCATTGCATCGTTCTTATCAAACTCCCGCACCTGTGTCGGGTTGGGGTCAACCAGAGTTCCCCAACTGGGATCCGCGTTCGTCCCTTGCTTACCCCACAGACCCATCCAACCAGAATCGTGGTGGGGTCACCAATCACGTCGGGGTCAGTCTGCTGATTACCATCATACCATATGGCGACTTCAATGTGTTTGTCAACGAGAGCCCGCCGGGCCACTCTTTGGACCAATGTTTGTCGTAAAAAGCATTCCATAATTTCCCGCAACTTCGAAATGGATTCAGTTCTCAAATCTTTATGAAGAACCTTTTGTCTGATACTTTGCCCGCGAAGAACCATCACAACACATTGGTAACTCGGCAGACGAGGAGCCCCAATAACTCAACATGTCCGTCTTCTTCAAGGAAATCTCCACGTTAGTAGCCTGTTATGTCTTAAGTGAAACCAAGTAACTCATCTTTCATGGATTAGGGATAACCCCGTGCAAAAGGGAGACGTTGAAAAACTCCTTGAGCCACTTGGTCTTTCAATCAAACCCGAAGAGTCGGCAGACTACCAAAGGCTCCTTGCCGCGGTCCACGATTGCGCAATCCGTATCGAAAAGTTGCCTGACTACCAGCCGGTTCCCAACACGGAACGATATCCCCGCGAAAGAATACGTCTTCCTACATCAGAGGAACAAGATTTTGGTCATGCATGGGCCTATCGGTTCCTGATCAAGGGCAACTCCCATGCGGACTCTGCTTTGGTGCCTTTGAAAGGGAAAACCGTATGCTTGAAAGACTGTATTGCCGTTGCGAGTGTACCGCAGTTTTTCGGTAGCGATGCATTTCCCCCGTGGACACCTTCCACAGACGCAACGGTAGTGTCACGCGTCCTGGACGCTGGGGCTGATATACTGGGCACGGCGACGTGTGAACATTTCTGCAACTCGACTGCATCTTTCACCAGCGCTCAGGGAACCATCGAAAACCCGTACGGGCAAGGATATTCTACTGGTGGTAGCACATCCGGCGGTGCGGCTCTAGTTGGCTCCGGAAAGATTGACATCGCCCTCGGAACAGACCAAGGCGGTAGTATCAGGGTTCCTGCAGCATTCTGTGGTTGCGTTGGGTTGAAGCCTACCCATGGACTAGTGCCGTTCACGGGTATCACAAGCGGCGATTCAATCGACGACCACGCCGGTCCCTTGTGCCGGACAGTCATGGAAGTTGCACGATGCCTGGATACTATTTCGGGTTATGACGGTATTGACGACAAGTCTTTGGGAGCTGCTGCTCACCGCTCCTATGACTTTTTTGCTTCTCTTGAATCATCGTCTGGCCGTTTAGAAGGGGTGAAGATTGGTCTTCTGAAGGAAGGCTTCAACCAGGAAATCATTGAGCCCAGAGTGAGAGACCATGTCATCGCAGCTGCTCGAAAGCTAGAGTCATTGGGAGCGACCATTGATGAAGTGTCTGTTCCTCTCCACTTAGATGGGCCTTCAATATGGACAATTCAGCAGCGTATCGCTGGCTCTTCGGGTATTCTAGGAAGAACTTCTGGACGAAGAGGCCTGGGTCTTACCGAATTCGATAAGGCTCGGTTGCCTTGGTCTAACTCGAGCTTCCAGAAACTCTTCCCTTCCACCAAGAACACCATCATCAATGGCTTATATCTTTCTGAAAGATTTCCCGGCCTGTATAGTAAGACTGTCAACATTGGTCGACAGATCAGCGATGCCTATCAAAAGGTATTCGAAACCTACGATGTTATCATCATGCCAACAACACCCTTTGTTGCACCACGACATGGATCCCGTGAGTCAGTTCTGGATTCCTTTGAGCCCACAATTGGCCTGACAACCAATACTGCCGTCTTCAACGTTACAGGACATCCTGCCATGTCTATACCCGTTGGCTTTCTTCCTGCGAAAGACAATGGACAAGTTTTACTGCCGGTGGGTATGCAGGTGATCGGTGGATTATGGCAAGACAAGAAAGTGCTCAATGTTGGGTTTGCCTGGGAAACCAACTTCGACTGGAAAAGCATCAAGGGCCACGGGAATGTAGTTCAACCCATCCCAGAATCTCCGAACACTGGAACGCACCCAAAAGTTGATGGAAGGCCAATGCCTGAGGTAAATGGTACGACATCACCAAGCCTCAAGCGAGTTAAGATTTCTGTTTAGGCCCTCTATCATAGGCAGCTCCAATAAGGGTTTTAACAATTCCATTCCGGCACCTATATTAGTTCACAACGTATGATACATAGCCTGTTGGCGTATCAAAATCACATTCATTGCCGTGATTGAGCACAAACGACTCTATTCCACCCTTCTCAACGTTTATGCCTGGTCTTTCTTTAACGTGGATTCTATTTCCTACATCTCTTCTTATATAATGTTTCATTTTCGCCGTAGATGATTTGTCATTGCTTATGATGCCGAAAGAGCGCCTCAAGTCAGTGTTGATTGGTAGATCGTGGTGTCCATGCCTCTCCCCCCTACCCACGTGGATACTTGCGACGGAAAATGAAAAACGACAGGCTGTTGTCTTGCGACCCCCATATTCTCTCACCCTAGCCCCCTCGGACGCCTTCAACGTAACCTTCTCTCATTCCCAACCCAACAAAGGCCACTTCAAAAACAGCTGCCTCGTCAAATTGTACATTACGCATTGTGTGGAACATTCAATCCTTGGCGATCCAGTCGTATAGTTTTCCATGTGCGCCGAATGATCCGCAAAAGAAGTCAAAAAACCACGGACAAGATATATCACTTGCAACCGAGTCCCAAATGTCGAATATTTGCACTTGGGAAAACAACGTATTTCAACCGAGTGCAACGGCTAGCGGAATCAGCAAAGTCAAGTACGATGAGGTAAAATCGTCATGCAAGCGATGTATCAGGACAGGTTGGAAATATGAAGGATATTGGCACATTTAGTCTACGCAAGAACCAGACAGGCACCGGCCCCATCAGGCTTCCCATGTAGTCTGGCGTGTTCACGAGTTTCGAGCATTGCAGAACTTCTGTGAGGTAGCAGGGCTAGCCCTGTCAGGAGCCGGAGATACCTGCTTCTGCACACACGTGGTTGTGCAATTTAGTACCTTTGAGCCTGCTGTCAGAATCGCCGCCATTGCCTTCTACAGTCTATAAGAGCATGCTCAAGATACGTTTGAATTGGTCACTGCGATGCAGTTCCCATACGATAACCAGCATCTTGCAATCCACCACTAAAACGTAGCCATCCGTGATTCAAGGGTCATAGGAACTAGCAACAAATATCCCGTGGTTTTGAATATTCTGCCGGTTCAACGAGGTTTCTCTGCTTTTTGGTGGGAAGGAAAACACAGGTTTATCTAGCATAAAAGAGCTCGAGGGTCCTCTACACTGAGCTTTTCATAGCTTTCAGACACACAACGGATGTTTGATATCCTGTCTAATCGAACGGCGAAACTAACACACACTCACATCGGAGCACACAACGCAAGCAGCACGTAAGCTTCTATAAGTAAAAGGGCCAAGAATTCAAAATTATCATACCTAAAAACCTCGCGGAACAGGCTACCATCGAACAGCTCATGGCCAACTAGTTGAAGCCCTTGAATGGCTTTGCGAGCATCTCGTCCATGGACTCTAATGCCCAAATATCCGGACCATATGATTGCTCATAACTAATTCAGCGCTTCCTCGTGGCCCTCTTTGACTGCTGCTGTAACCGACTGCATGTGGCGTTAGATATGAGTGATGATGGTTATGATAATTGACTTCCGAATGACTCTAAGTAGTTGTTCTGCTTAGAAACTGAGGTACTACAGGTCTTGGACTTGAGCACTTCATGAAGGTCACACTCCATGTTTAAAATAAGTTTCGGGGTCATGCTCTTCTTTCTTTTGTCTGCCTGTCATGTCTAAAACTCGTCTCGGTTTCCTAAGGCCTATCCGTCTTGGACCTTCCTAGGGGGGGAATGGCATTCAGATGTATACGTGATCGCTGAGGTTCGGAAGCAAATCATCGACGTAGAGCTTGGCATCAACTTGGATGGGTCTGGCCTATCTCTTGGCCTTCCTACGCCCTTTCATCTGATGAAGTGACAGTGACAGATTTTTGCAACGGATCAACAGCTCGAAAAGAACGTTCTTATGAACGAAGAGGATATTCATCTTGACCAAAGAACTTCGAATACGCAAAGGTAGCGGCAAGAACTATCTACAAGCAACCTAGAGGGTAGCTTGTATTAGTTCCCGAAGAAAACAAACCTACATACCATATCGACGTGTTCAACTCACTGTTATGCAGTTTACCCCCTCACAGTCAAGTGTATGTTATGTCTCTAGTCAATATAGTGATAGGTCGCATCCAAGCTCACAATTTATTGACTGTCCCTCTTCCCACACATATACTACTAGACATTCAACTAGTCACATGCAATAAAATAGTTCCAACGAATTAAAATGTTTAGATATGTCACAGTTGAGCTCAAAATCCCTTTGATATATCTGCCAGTTTCCCGCTGCAATTATGAAAACATCTTCAAGAAATATGAATGCTCCCATTACCCCGAACCTTCGACACTAATTGATAGTGTATCCCCCGTCAACCACCAATGCATGCCCTTGAATAAACGAGGATTGACTGGAACATAAAAATAGCACTGCGTCTGCCACTTCTTCGGGCTTTCCCATCCGCCTCATGGGTGCAATATCGATGGCAGGTTTCAGTCTCTGAATCAGTTCTTGGGATGCGGTTGTCATTGGCGTGGCAATCATGCCCGGACAAACGCAATTAACCCTGATTCCATCCCGAGAATAATCTATAGCATCTGATCGAGTCATATTGATGATTGCAGCTTTAGACGCGCAATATGGCGCTATATACCACCATGTTAGTAGTTTATCCTTAAAAGCAGAAAGATGATACCACTTACCAGCCGCTGGCCGTGCAACGATACCGAGTTGACTAGCAATGTTGACAATAGCTCCTCGCTGGCCCGGATGCTCCTCATACGGCTTCTGGCTTAACATGTTGCGTAAAACAGCACGAGACACCAGCCAGCTACCCTTATAGTTGACATTTGTGATGCGGTCGAAAGCGGTCGTTGATGTTTCGTGTGACCGCAATGATTCTCCTAGAATCCCGGCGCAACTGATAGAGTAATCGATACGACCGAATCTCTCATTAGCTTTTTCCACGAAAGTGTTGACAAAGCCTTCATCTGAGATATCTCCTTCTTGACTCATCACCTGGGTTTCGGGATCAATTTGACCAATTGCTTCCCGTGTGTCTGCTAGCGACTTTTTGTTCAGGTCGGTAATAGCAATTCTCGAACATCCGGATCGCGCGAAGCCTTTGGCAACGGCGGAGCCAATGCCTGCACCAGTATGTCAGGTTCTGTCCTTGGAAGCTAGAGAGATCTTACCAGTTCCTCCCGCACCAGTAATGAGGGCAACTCCCGGAAACCTGTACATGCTGAATATGGCGGGGGACTCTTTCATTGGATCACAAAATAATATATCCAAGAGTCCGTCAGTCGCGCCTGAATGTGAAGTAGTTAAATCGTAGCATCGGATGCCATCAACTTGAATCAAGTCCTACGTACGCCAGCTTCATTTTCTGCTCCGTCCAATCCGCTCTTGTATCGAAATGATGGATACTGCGGGGAAGCAGACGATATGATTTCGGTGTGGGACAGAATAAGCATCCAATTGCCACTATGGAGCACCATCCATGTCGCACCAAAATGCCAAGCACTAGATAAACTAAGTAAAGTAGAGTAACAGGGTCGTATCGTGTCAAGGGTGGGTGGTTACGAGTCAGTCTCCAAAAGATAACGGGCGATTCACGGCAGTTGGAGGTTATCTGTGGACGAGAAACGACCCACACGAATATCACGTCTTCTCCAACATAAGCCCAAGGATGCCCCAATCCACACTTCTCTCCAACTTCCCCGGTCTTTCACACCTCCAAAAATATCTCACAACGTGATAATAGCATGTTGTCTCACAATGGCACGAATATACACCCACAGCCGCAGCCGCCGCAACCGCCGCAGCAGCTGCCGCGACCGCATTCGACCCCAGTCAAGCGAAGGAGGCGAACCGGTAACGGCCCTAACGCGCGTGCATGCCCTCACTGCGGGCGAACTTTCAAGCGCACCGAGCACTTAGAGCGCCATGTGCGAACACGTCAGTCATCTCATCCATATTCGTGTTCCTATATCCAAGTGTTGGAGTGGACGGACGTTCGGTCGAACTACTCCTCGCTGTTGCATTCCGGACGCATTCTAGCTCGTACCGTGACCTGAAGTTTGGGGCAATGCCACGCGCCGTCATGCTAATCTGCTGGTCATTTGCCAGACACCAAGGAAAAGCCCTTTATTTGTCGATGTGGGGCAGCCTTTGCTCGGCGAGACTTGTTGACCCGCCATCAGCGGATCGCTTTCCATGAGGATGGATCCGAGTCCCCAGAGGGTCAGTCGGAGCCGGACTCCGGGGAGAACCACAGCCCGGTTGAAGCTGATCTGGCCGCTGCTGTGTCCCTTTCAGGAATGAGTGTGGACCATTGGGCACAACAGCCACCTGTATCGTCTGCAGATCTGTATCCCATGGCGGTCCCAAGAAACGATGCTCTTGTAGATGCTTCGTATCAGCAGAGTTTACTCACGGACCAGTTCTATGAAAACGGTTGGTTGATTGGCAACGCCCGACTTTCCCACAAGAAAGCTTACACGGAAAGTTCTAGGCAATCAGGATGCTGTAGGATTTGACGCCCATTTCAGAGAGTTCGCCAACTTTCTCGATGGTGTCGGCCTGCCAGCGGAATGGAGCCCATACTTCCATGGCCCCGATCGAGAAAACGAGGTCACGGACTCGACGGTGAAAGAATCGAGGGAGGGCACTACTACACCTGGGGCTCGAAACAGCAGAACCTGTCCGGGCACTCCGTTCAGTTCATGGCTACCGTCAGCGCCTACAGGCAATCGCATATCCGAGGCCCTACCAGACACAAGTAAGTCAGCAATACGGACAACATGAACCCGAAGCCCAGCTGACTCTTAGCCAAGGCCATCGGTCGGTTGACACCGAGTCGCAGCCGTACCGTGTCTCGGAAGAGCAGCGGTTCCGCCTCAACACTTCCATAGAGACGTTCCGAGACCTCCTTGGCCCGGATTTCAAGTTTCCTTCCCGTCATGCTCTCACTCGCTACATGACTTCCTTCTTCGAAGGTTTCCACTCCCACATGCCTTTCATCCACACCCCGACATGGCGGATATCTGAGCACTCGCTGGAGCTCATACTCGGACTCGCCGCTGTTGGAGCGCAGTACTGTTTTGAGCATCGCATGTCCGAGAGACTATTTCATGCTGGCAAGGTCATTATGTTGGAAAGACTCGTGCATGAGTCTGACAAGTTTGGAGCCAGGGCCGGCTCTTCCCTCAATCTCCACAGTGTGTCACCCCAGCGCCGTGAATCAAGGGGCATCCGAGAAAGGGACTGGGGCTCATGGGAGCCCGTGGAGACGGTGCGAGCTCTGATCGCTCTTATGGGCTATGCTACCTGGGAACCCAAGGTGTCGCTAATGCAAGAAGCGTTTGCTTTACAAACGTTGCTGGCACAGGTTCTCCGTGAAATCGGACTGCACGAAGAGAACGAGTCAGAACTTGCTGCAGAAAAGAACTCACCCCAAGCCTCTTGGCTTGCCTGGGTACGACAAGAATCTACGCGTCGGGCGAAGCTCATCGCCTTCTCCTTCATGCACACACACAGTATTGCATACAACGTGTACCCTGTTCTGCGAAGCAACGAGGTCGGTCTTCGGCTGCCGTGTTCTACTGGGGAATGGAAAGCACAAACTGCATGTCAATGGCAGGTTGCTCGCCGCGAGGCTGGGAAGCAACAGCTCTTCTTCCAAGATGCGCTATCGTTGCTTTTGCGTAACACGGACGGCACAGCGCCTGTTGACCCTATCCCAACACCCCTGGGCAATTACATTCTCTTGCATGGTCTGCTGCAGAGAATATATATCGTCCGGGATCTTTCATTGCCAGTGATGGACCATTCGGCATCTTTGCCAAGCGAGGAGGTTGACAAGCTTGAGTGAGTTCATCCTTGTGTCTTCGGTCTGAACTGAGTACTGACCTCTCTGATTCAGACGCGGACTCCGGTCGTGGACTGCGGGCTGGCAACAGGCTCCCGAATCGAGCCTTGACCCGAACAATGAGAATGGGCCTATCCCCTTTACTTCCAGCTCTTTACTTGGACTGGCATACGTTCGGATTTACCTGCACCTTGGTCCATATAGATTGCTCGAGACGCGAGACCCCGTACGCATCGCGAAAGCTATTAGTCGGTCTCCTGCAGTGGAACGCAGCAGCGGTGTCACTACCGCACTTCTGTATGCTGCTCACATGCTCAGCATTCCTGTCAGGCTCGGTGTCGACCGTGTCGCTCGCAGTCAAGCGTTTTTCTGGAGCGTCCGCCACTCGCTGTCGGGTCTCGAATGTGCCGTTTTGCTCAGCAAGTGGCTTTCGTCTCTTACAGTCTCCACAAGCTCAACACCGCTTAGTGGTAAGTCAACCAACGACAAGTTCGGGCCATTTGACGTTAACTGAACACTCTGCTGACAAAATGCAACAGATAGCGAAGACAGAATACTACATTGGGTCCGTTGCATCGTGGAAGAGGCCTACGACGTTGTCGACTTTGAAGACGATGGGCTCGAGACGCCAACAGATCGGGATCCCGCATCGCTGAGTCTAGCAGTCCTTAAAATTTGGGCGCATTTCTTCAAGAGTAATACGCAATGGCCGTTCATAAATATCATTGGGAAGAGCCTCGAAAAGTATCGAGAGCTTCTTATGCGCAACAGGCCGCAGCAGGTCACTTGAGGACACTGGAAATACTATGCACGATTCGCCTACAGACTTCGGCAAGATGGTCCTAAACGACATCGCTTGGAAGGAACCTGCAGATGACTCATCTTGGGCGATAAGGCAATACGGTGCCGTCAATCATCGAGGATCAGACATCAAGACAGCGAGAGCCGAGGAATAAGCTGACTATTCGTGCCATTTCTCGCTCCCCGTACTGACGGGCAGAGACGGCTTCTGACGCACTCTTGGGTAATATGTCAGATTTTAGGAGTTATGGGCCAGGTGGCATTTGGGGCAAGCTGCACTACGGATACAACCAAGGCAAATTACTTCAAATAAGGAGCTCCATGGCTTCAGGGTTCCCCGAGTGCGAAACAGGCCGATAGCTGTTACTTTAACCTGACACCTCCAAGATTTCTCGCCGCCACCATAGCCACTCCTGAAGACAGAGCTCGCGATGCTGGTCTCCCAAAGGTCTTGTATGTCTGCATGCTCCGGACAGGCACAAATTCACTCGCGGCGGCCCTTAGGGAACTAGGCTTCAAATATGTTTTTTACGACCTCGATTCCCGTGAAAAGCCTAGCCACTGTCTGTGTTTTGAGAGGGCCTTAATAGCCACTTGGCCGGAAGTCAACGCTGAGGGCCTTTCGCTCGAGAGGACCGGGACGAGTTCTTTGATGTGTACAGTGCAGTGACTGATCTGTCCTGCTTCTGGGCGGCGGAGCTCATCGAAATTTATCCGGATGTCAAGGTCGTTCCCAAGAACCGCAACTTTGACAAGTGGTTCAGGAGCTTCGACAGCCAAGTTCTCCATTCCATGGGTCGGCCTTTTCCTGAAAGGGGTGGGCCTGATCGTTGGGTACCGGGCAGGATTCGCGACGCAGAAGACAACCAGCGGCTTCTTCGGTTGCACACGTACGCTTGAAGAGCCTCGATGAAGAGTTCCGTCGGAGGGCGACCGAGGCCTTCAGCTACCACAGCGAGCGAGTCAAAGCTCATGTGGCTGCGTTGAGGCTTCTCATCTATGGCATCTGCAGGGATGGATAGCAACCGCTCTACAAGTTTCTCGGCAAGGAGGTGCCTGAAGGAAAGGAGGTTTCACACACCAACGATGAGGGCGACATTACTTCTAGCTGCGCTTAACATGTCTCGACAACCTCAATTTGACTGTTAGGCTATTGGATGAGTAATCGTAGACCGCTATATTTTGTATTTGATGCGCTTAAGAGGGTTGCAGTTACAGAGTTAGGTAAATAGTCCTTCCGATAGGGGGTTGGGCACTTCAGACGGGTGCTGAAAGACTCGAGTTATTTGACTTAACTGCGAGTATCTAATCACCCCTATTGGTGTTAGCTGCTATCTCCCCCTTACCTCGCTGCTTAACTTGTGAATCTCCTTCTCTATTTTGCTTTTTCTACAACAAATCTGAGTATCTATAGACATCTTCAATTATTGTTACTGCCGTAGTTATCTAGCCATAATATCCAACACCATTGGGTGAATCGGAACCACCAGCAAAGGACGATAATTATATTCTACATGTTTCGAGCCGACCAGGATGTCTAATGCCTACTTTCACAAAGTTTTCAAGCTGCGAAAAATCTAAATTTCCGCCGTTGAACCGGCGGCAAGTTGCGACGATCGTGGGAATCTTTCACCTTTCGGCAGAGTTAGCTCTCCACCGGAGTTTGTCCCACAGCTCCCACCGGACCCCGGTGGAGAGGAGTTCGTGACCGGGACAAGCATTTGCACGCGGCCGGCAATATGCACTAGAGAATGGTTGAAACATTCAATAACGAATCACCGAAGATAATTGAGGTCGGATGGATTCTGTAAAGTCAACTTTTAAGTACATGTATCTTTCTCCTCCGTGCTTGGAAGGATACTCGTCTTTCGACTGCCACTTCTTCCTGTCCAGTCCCCCTCGGCATTATTATCGCGGAAACCACTGCACCATTAACTATCAATTTTTTAAATTCTTCTTAGTCATTCTATCTCCAAGATGATTCAACAAGAGGACCACCGTCTCATCTACCGCTATGATGGCGAGCAGGTGTGGATTGAGCCATGGGGCCCGGATGCCTTTCGAATCCGGGCAACAAAGGCCCATATGATGCCCTCCGAGGCATGGGCTCTCGAAGGGAAACCTCCAAGCATTTCATCCGCCCCTCAATTATCTATCGCTGATGATGGCTCGGCCATGATTACGAATGGCAATGCTAAAGCATGCATTACGAAACACGGCAAGATCACTGTGATCAACTCTCGCGGTAAGGTTGTCCTCGAAGAGTACGCCAGAAATAGACGCGATCTCCTGGATGCGAAGTGTAGTGCCATAGAAGTTGAAGCCCGCGAGTTCAAGCCTCTCAGTGGCGGCGCCTACCATCTTACCATGCGCTTCGAGAGTCTAGACGCAGACGAACGGATTTTCGGCATGGGGCAATACCAATTGCCGCACTTGGATTTGAAAGGTCTTGACCTCGAACTTGCACACCGCAACTCGCAAGCCAGCGTGCCCTTCGCCCTCTCATCTCTGGGATATGGCATACTGTGGAATAACCCAGCTATCGGTCGCGTTGTGTTCGGCAAGAACACAACATCCTTCGAGGCCTACGCAACAAAGGTTCTTGATTATTGGGTGGTCGTCGCTGACACACCGGCTCAGATTGTGGAGCGATATGCCGGTGTAACTGGCAAAGCGCCTATGATGCCGGAACACGGACTTGGCTTTTGGCAATGCAAGCTTCGATATGAAACTCAGGACCAGTTGCTGGAGGTTGTCGAAGAGTATTACCGCCGAGAGCTGCCGCTTGACCTGATTGTTGTGGATTTCTTCCACTGGCCAATGCAGGGAGAGTGGAAATTTGACCCTGTCTACTGGCCTGACCCAGGTAAGTCGGCACTTCTGTCTGGGGTGTTTCTGTTGATTACGCTGCCTGGTCTCATCAGTTCCATCACGACTAATAAGAGAGCAGACGCCATGGTCAAACGACTCAATGCTTTAGGGGTAGAGTTGATGGTGTCTATCTGGCCAACCGTTGACCGGAGATCATCCAACTTTCAAGAAATGCTGGAGAAAGGATTTCTAGTACGAACTGAAAGAGGAGTCAGAACGAACTTCGAATTTGAGGGTCAGACAGTTTACTATGACCCCACGAATCCCGATGCACGTCGATACGTCTGGAACAAAGCAAAGGAGAACTATTACACCAAGGGCATTAAAACATTCTGGCTGGACCAAGCTGAGCCTGAATACTCGGTCTATGACTTTGACAATTATCGTTACTTTCTAGGACCAAACCTGGAAGTTGGTAACATCTACCCTCGCGATTACGCCCGCACGTTTTTCGATGGTATGAAGGAGTCCGGCCAAGAGAACCCCGTCAATCTTCTCAGATGTGCCTGGGCTGGCAGTCAAAAGTATGGCGCTCTTGTCTGGAGCGGCGACATAGCGTCGTCCTGGTTAAGCTTCCGCAACCAACTAGCCGCAGGACTCAATATGGGAATTGCTGGCTTGCCATGGTGGACGACCGACATTGGCGGATTTCACGGTGGTATCCCCGAAGATGAATCATTCCGCGAGCTTTTTGTCAGATGGTTTCAATGGGGTGCTTTCTGTCCTGTCATGCGATTGCACGGCGACCGGGAGCCCAAGAGTGGCAGCCTGTCGTCTAGCAGCGGAGCGCCCAATGAAGTCTGGTCCTATGGACCGGCTGTCTATGATATTTGTCGCAAATATCTGCTCATCCGTGAACGACTGAGGAGTTATACCCGACGGCTGATGTCTGAGGCTCACAAGAAGGGCTCTCCGGTCATTCGGCCCCTATTCTACGAATTTCCCAATGATTCGCAATGCTGGAAGCTTGGGGCGACTCAGTACATGTACGGAGACGCGTATCTATGCTGCCCGGTTGTCGCAAAAGGCGTCAGAAAGATGGACGTCTATCTCCCGGTCTTGGAGTTTGGTGAACAATGGACTTCTTTCACTGACGTCGAGTCTGAAATACGAACTTGGGAGGGCGGCTCGACTGTTGAGGTCGACTGTCCCCTGGAGTTGATGCCGGTCTTTGTAAGGAAGTGTAGAGCGCAAGTGACATTGGAGAGGTGATCCAAGATTCTAATTCCTGTAGTGATAATTAGAGCGCAGGTAAGGCTTTTCGTTTATATTCGATTGTTTTGTTGTCATACGTCTCTTCCTATATTATCCCTCACGAAACAAACGGTCTATTTTCCACATGACATTCTAGTTTTCCATCAGCGCCAATGCTAGGACAATTGCGTATTAGTTTACACTATTCATTACCCTGAACTGTTTTAGTTGTTACCGCACGCGACGCCTTACATCCTTGCACGTTGCATTACCCCGCTTGCGTCCATGTATATTACCCCGACCTCCTGCAGCAATCGAACTGTAATTTTGACCGAACGTACCCTCACAAATGCCTGACATGGTGTATATCACGGACCATTCGCCTGAATCTCTTTTCATGCTGGATTCGGAGTCCTCGTCAGCTCAGCCAAGTCGAATGTCACACCGCAGCAGACAAAGAAAATGCTAATAAGCCGCATGGTAGTAAAGCGGCCGACTTTGTTGAAAACAAGACATGGACTTCAAATGCGACTATTGCGGTAGCAGCTTTAGACGACAGGAACATCTGATAAGACACAAGCGTTCGCATACCAGGGAAAGGCCCTTCAGCTGTACCAAATGTGGTAAAAGCTTTTCTCGACTGTTCGTCCTATCCAATAAATTGGCCCAAGCTACTTCTGACATACATTAGGGATGTTCTTACGCGTCACACCGCCTCCCATAGTCAAGACAAAGAACAATCACGTCGACATGGAACATCGGCAAGAGCTTGTAGTCAATGCGCATCGAGCCGAACCCGGTGCTCAAGGGACCAGCCGTGTCAACGTTGCACCAGCCGAGGGCTGAATTGCAGTTATCCCGGACGACGACGACGACGACGACAGGGACGTTCAAATGGGTCGTCGCCTGAGACCCCTGAGGATGCTGATGGAAACACTGGACAGCACGATCGTACTACTCCCGTGCCGGTCAATGGTGATGTGGAAATCTCTGAAGTTCCAGCTGACTGCGACATCAACGCGCACCCGGCCCGCGGGAGCCGTGAGAATGATACGCCTCTGATACTCCCTGATGGCAATGCAAGCGCCAACGGGCGAGCGGCTGTGCAATCCCGTTCCATTAGATGGGAAGCTATGACTGCCAACGACGGCGGTCAATACGATACGCAGGATGCCAGTATCTCTTGCGATGCAGAGATTCTTGGTAACTTCGTTAATAGCGACTTCTTTGCGGATCAGTCTATTGGAGTTTCCGGGATCAACTGGCTTTCTCCCGAGTACTATACCAGCTTTGACTGGGTACAGCCCACAGCTGCTGACGGAACGGTCATTGCTAGTCATGACCGCCTTCATCAGACAACAGCTGGAATCCAGTTTGTACAGGGCCCATGGTTCAACCTTACGGAAGAGCCTCTGCCTGAGGTTCAAGAACCACCGGCGCCATCCAGCCATGAGATATACAATCCAAGTCAGACGATTGAAGCTAGGCATAGAAGAAGCTCCAATGGATCGGTCGTGTCCTCATCAACCACAGGAACCTATTACGTCGATGGAGCGCCCACTAGAGCCCCTTTCAAAGGTGGTCCAGGCCCGATATATGGCGAAGCAGAAATCGAATGTCCGGGGGTTCCAAACGTCGTTCAAGCAGATGGTTATTGCGAGGACACAAACGGTCTGACACCACTTCTCTTATCGGCCCAAGCTTACGAAAATCTAATCAACAAGTTCAAACATGAAGTCTGTTTCAAAGGACATGCGTTCAACCCAAGACAATATCCTTGTTTGTCGCACATCAGAGCCTACTTCAGGCTTTACTTTGATCGATTTCACCCCGCATACCCTTTCTTAAGAAAGTCGACATCCATATACGAATCGGAGTCTAGTTGGCTTGTTCTTCTGGCCATATGCGCTGTTGGATCGAGATACGCATCAGGGGTCAACAATCAAAGCCTCGGAGATACATTATATCTCTTCCTTGAAAAGGCTGTCTCTCATCATATCCTTGAACACACCCGCTCAAGACCCCCCGCATGCTGGGGCATTTTCTGCGAGGCTAGACCAGATGATAACCAGACTTTGAGAGCTGCTCAAGCCACAATCCTTTACCTTGTGTGCCGACCGCAAGATTCGAAGAAAGACCCTCGCATATTGGATGTGACGGCGCGTCAATTCCTTGTGGCTTGTTGCCGCGAGCTCAACCTGCTGAACATATCAGCTGCAGCGCCAGCAAACATGGGCTCTGCTACGAAAGAGGCTGTATTAAAAGCCTGGACTCAAAGGCAATCTCATATCCGAACCGGTATGATGATATGGGTAAGCGATTCCATTATGTGCTTCGCTGTCTATAATATCACTTCGACAAGAACTGACGAGTTTGAAATTCTGTAGACACTTGACTATATCCTGGCTTTGCAGTTCAACCAAGAACCTCTACTGAATTTGGGCGACATTAAAGGCGTTTTGCCTTGCCCTGGGCCGCTGTGGGAGAAACCCGATTTGGACAAAATCTCCCGAGATGCCTCCAAAACAGGTACATGCCTTTCTAACCTGAAAACCCAACCTCGAACCATCGACTGACCATGACATCATATCAAGTCCGATTGCATGACGCGCTGAGCATGTTGTATACGGAAAAGAAGTTGCCCCCAAACATCGGTGACTTTGGGACAATTGTCCTAACTTACGCCATTTACCAACGGACGAAGGCTGCCACCTACCAATACCAATCAAAGCTTTCTTCCTGGACGCCAACAGCGGAGGTTGCCAAGCATTCTGAGGAGGACCTAATAGAAGAAGCATGGCCGCCATCGCTCCCAATTCTTTCAAGATGGAGAAACAGCGCATGTGACTGCTTAGACCTGCTTCATTGGAACGCTAACGCTATAATTGCCAAAGCCGGAGGCTGGGAGCATCCAGCATTGCTACACCTACATCTCTCGCGACTTATTCTTCTGACACCAATAAACCACATGAGGACGCTTGCAGTTGCAGCCTCGTTGGGTACCTACGGTCGATCAGTTGACAAGTCGAAGGTTGAAACAGCGAGAACGAACATCGCCAAATGGGCGGTAAACGATCAGTACAAAGCTAGGCTGTCAATTATTCACGCCGGGGCGCTTTTTTGGCACATTCGCCGCTACAGCATCAAAGATGTTTTGGAACCCTTCGCCATCTTCACCTCCACTCTGGTCATCTGGTCCTACAGTACCATGATGCTCTTTCTCAACCAACACAATGCTACTATACCACCAACGTCGGGACCTTTACGACCAGAGCTTTCCCGGGACGGTGTCATGGAATCACAGGCGAGTCCTAACGACACAAGTGGAGCGGAAAACGACTTGGAAGAACCAGAGCCGAAATTCCTACACCTGGACAGGCCATGCGATGATGAGATGGTGCAGACATATGTGAAGCTAGGACACCGTATGGCGGGGCACGTTGCAAAAGTTGGCGATATTTGCCAACAAGGTGCACCCAAGAAGATTTTACAAGAGGGAATCCGGATGCTGAACGGCAATTTTGGACAGGAGTCTAATCTTCCGATCGAGCACACGGGGGGGGAAGTTTCGTTGAAGCAGCAGGGGACCTGGGGAGTTGAACAGCCCTTCGCAGAATTGCTAGCATCCCTTATTCAGTCTTGTTCTGACTGACTGAAACCAATGATTCACTCCTCGGCAGAGATTCGCAGGTTTATCCGTCATTCTCGTACGGCGTGACCTTGAATGCCCGACAAATTGACATCTCCACCGGAGAGACACACAATAAGGGGGGCTGCTTGGGGAGGGAACATGAATCCACTTACAAAACATCCCACATGCCCCCGGTGGCACGACACCACTCCGGTGGGGGTGGACCTCAGCACCGACAGAGCTGCAAGTCGGGTAAACATATTCCGCAGTAGCAAACCTAACCATAGTTTAGCTTCATTCCGTATGTGACTTACCCCAGATTCTATCCAGGATGTGTGCGGGGAATTCAACCACACCCCTGGGTGCAAGAGCGAGACCGGCAAATTTCTCTTCACCTTTACCTGTTCAGTATATATGACAGAAGTGTCCACAGAGTGTGTAACACTGCTCGCTGATCTCGTACGGAGCATCTCGTCCTTTTCGGGCTCCGCGTCTTGCATCCGGTCCATCACCAACTGAGACCTTGCGTTATTCCATCCACACTGCTTGTCTCAAACCCCACACGCAATGGCACCCAAACATGATGATGATGCGATCGATATCGTTGAGCATGAACCTCATGCCAATGAGTACGAGATCAAGGACTTAGCCTTGGCCAAAAAAGCCGCCGAGGACGAGCACAGCCTTGGCTTCCTAGAAGCCATCCGCCTGTTTCCAAAGGCTGCGCTATGGTCCGTCCTTGTTTCCGCCTCGATTATCATGGAGGGATACGACATTGTTCTCATCTCATCTTTCTTCGCTCAACCTGCTTTCAGAGAGCATTATGGGGAATACATTCCAAGTAAAGGCTCTTACGAAATCACCGCCGCCTGGCAGAACGGACTCAGCAACGCCGTGAGTGTTGGAACTATCATCGGGGCCTTCGCCAACGGCTACTTCACTCACCGTTTCGGATACCGAATGGTTCTGTTGGTGTCGCTGGCTTCCATTTGCTGCTTCATCTTCATCTCGTTCTTCGCGCCAAACCTTCCAGTTCTTCTGTTTTCGGAGTTTCTCTGTGGAATTCCTCTGGGAGTTTATGCAACGATGGCGCCGGCTTACGCATCAGAGGTTTGCCCTCTTGCTCTACGCGGCTATCTGACAGTCTACGTTAATCTCTGCTGGGCTCTCGGTCAGCTAATCTCAGCCGGCGTTCAAGCTGGGTTTTCGGAGAAAGTCGGCCAATGGTCTTATCGAATACCGTTTGCTATCCAATGGGTGTGGCCGCTTCCTCTCTTCGCTATCCTGTGGTTCGCACCAGAGTCGCCGTGGTACTTTGTCCGCCTAGGCAAGTATGACCAAGCCGAAAAGTCGATTCTCCGCCTCAGTTCACCTTCACAGCGCAGCCAGGTGGAACAGAGAGTCGCTATGATGATCCACACAAATGAGATCGAGGCCCAGATGGATGAAGGCACATCCTACATGGACTGCTTCCGGGGTGTCAATCTGCGCAGAACTGAGATCGCGTGCCTAACTTTCGCTGCTCAGCCCTTTTGCGGCTCGGCAATGGGAGGTACGCCAACCTACTTCTTTGTTCAGGCCGGGCTGCCCACCTCAATCTCATTTGAATTGTCCGTTGGGGGGCTCGGGGTCGCCTCAGTTGGCACGATCCTGGCTTGGGGCCTTCTCCACTTGTTCGGACGCCGTACTCTGTACCTCTGGGGTCTTGGCCTTTTGACCCTCATACTTGTCGTGGTCGGTTCAATAAGTGCCGGCGCCCCCAACTCTGACGCCGCAAACTATGGCCAAGCTGGCATGATGCTTGGCTGGCTAGCTGTCTACTACCTTACTGTTGGCCCGATCTGCTACGCCATCATTTCCGAAGTCTCATCTACGCGCCTCCGCAATAAGAGCGTGTGTCTGAGCCGAATCACCTACTACGTTGCTCAGATCATCTGCAACGTCATTAATCCTTATATGGTAAGTATTTAACCATATCACGGTCATTAAACACAGTATTAAAAAGTTGAAATGCTAAACCTGGACCTACTAGCTGAATCCGACGGCGGGAGGCTGGAAAGGAAAGACTGCATTCTTTTGGGGCGGGTGTGCGTTTGTCTTCTTCGTCTGGACATACTTCCGATTGCCTGAAACCAAGGGTAAGACTTTTGAAGAGCTTGACATCCTGTTTGCTAGGGGCGTTAAGGCATCGGACTTTGCTTCATACAAGGTCGATGCATATGCAGGCGGAGAGGAGGCTTTGACTAAACAAGATTGAATTGAGATTTTCAGCTCATAATCTTTCGTTGATGTGGAGGAATGGACAATATGATCGATTCCTTCACTCGGTAGAACCTGAGTTTGCCTACTATATATGATAGCCACCTATACAGCATTTTCTTCAAATGACACCAGCAACGGATCTGTGTCTCCTTGAAGTTTCTGGAAACTTTATACTGTCCTACTGGTGGTCCAAATGGCGTCAGTCGTAATTCTGTCTATTACCTGCCTACATCCTTTCTAAGTGCCTGAGTTTCGGTTTTTCTCGTCATCGTCTAGCAGAAAGGAGATGTTATCAAACACGCATATTTTCCGTCTTTCGATATATCAATCTTTGCAAATGCAACTAGTCACTTCTGCCGTAAAGCAGACCCTCGGAGTGAAGTCCACTGGTTCCCTGCCACACAGTGAAAGGGGAAATCAGCTACGTTTTCCCGGCGGGGGTGGAGGTCGTCACCTCGGCAATGAATGCAATGGGGCAATCATACCCCGTAGCAACATAGAGCAGCATTGCGGGGTCTTTGCGGGGAAGGGGACGTAGAGTTGCAATGGGAATGGGGTCAACATTAATAGAACTCGGTTATTGCCAAAGCTCGATGCTCCGATGGGGAACCTTGAGTCCAGTGATAAGTCAAAAGGGAGAACGCCAATTCTTGGCATGGAATATGATATATTTTCTATATAAGTCAGACACGATAATGTCTGAAAACATTTTGAGCATCTTCCTTTGATGCATGCGCACCGCCGATCCCATCATGAAGCTCAACAACATCCTTTCGGCTGTCTTCGTGGCCCTGGCCATTGATCAAAGCGCTGCCTTGGTCGCCCCCCGTGCATCATTAGGCGCTGCGACTGTTGACCTCAGCACCTCGACAGGAGAGGCTCGGTTTCTTGGGTCGGGATTCATATATGGATTTCCTGACAACGGCACAAACACAGACAGCTCCATTCCCGACTACTTCGCTACCGACATCAAGTTCAATGCTTGCCGTGCCGGCGGTGCCCAAACGCCATGGCCAGGATGGGCCGGTGGTGGGTACGACGGCTATATCGGACGTTTTAACTCTACGCTGTCCAATTACAGAACCACTCGCAAGTATGGAGCAGATTTCATTCTTCTCCCTCATGACCTATGGGGGTCCGATGGGTCCTTGGGAGGAGGTGGGTTGTATCCAGGAGATAATGGCGATTGGTCTCAGATGGAGGCTTTCCTCGCGCAAGTTATCAAGGACCTTAAAGACAACGACATGCTTGAGGGGCTGGTCTTCGACATTTGGAACGAGCCAGATATTGATACCTTCTGGGCACGCTCTTGGGATCAGTACCTAGAGTACTACGTTCGAGCTCACAGAATCATAAGGTCAGCACTGCTCACTCCGGCAACGTAGTCCGCGACTAATACATCATAGAGCCAAACTTCCTGACACCCTGATTAGCGGACCATCCAGTGCAAACGTACCTGATCTTCAGAGTCCTACCTGGACTTCTTGGCTGGCCGCCATATCAGCAAACGATACAATTCCCGACATATACTCTTGGCACCAGATTGGAGACACGGGACGTGAGCTCGACAGGGTCATTCCTGATTTCAATACACTTCTCAGCCAACACAACCTTCCACAGAGAGCTATAGACATAAACGAGTATGCAGCGCACGAAAGGCAGAACCCTGCCAACTCAGCCTTCTATCTGGCTCAGCTTGAACGCCACAACCTACGCGGCTTGAGGGCCAACTGGGGCAGTGGAGCGGGTCTACATGATTTAATGGCCGACCTTGTTTTCAAAGATACCGACGGTAGCTATAAACCCAACGGCGATTGGCAGACGTACAAGTACTACGCCGGGATGACAGGCGATCGTGTTGCCACGAATGCATCGCCGGACCTCAAATTCGATGTCTTCGGGACCATTTCTGGGAACAACGTCAAAGTTCTTGCAGGAACTCAGTCCCTCCAGGCCCCGTATGAAATCAGCGTCTCGGGTTTGGGTCGTATTGGACTGCCTGCCGATGGGAGTGTTTTAATTCGCACTCTTCGTTTCGACTTTGATGGCCGCTCAGGCTTGATCGAAGGCCCTGTTGATCTTGGCACGGCTGAGTACACATACACGTCTGATACGGTCAGTCCGGTTCTTTTCACGTCAGGTATATTTGGCTAATCTATCAATCTAATTTAGCTCAATATTCTCGTTGAAACTCCGACGAACTCAACTGCATTTGCTTTCGAATTCTCTGGCGGCCAGTGAATTAGAATGGAGTCGAAAATGTAGGATCTAGTACAGTGCTATCTGCAGCATGGCTTGACATATTGTGGGACCAGGAGGGGTAAATACGCCGGGCTACAGAGAGAACGGTGATCCAAGCTGGCCGTAGGACAAGAAAACATAAACAAAAAGCAGTTGAAATTAGCCCTCCTAAACGCGCTAGTTGGATGCGCAAAAGCTGGACACGTAGTCAGCTAGCGCTGCTTTTTGTATAGCTTACCAACGAGCATCCGCTAGGAAGAAACCTATGCGGTTCGCGGATATAAAATACGCAATTTGTTCAAGATTAGTGTTCGCGGAAGATCGTGAACTATCTTACATGCTCGCATCAGAAAAGAACACAAGCAGCTTCGCAAAAAAAGCTCATGGTTCAGTCGGTGAAGTTAGTCTTGGCATAAGATGCCGTCACTGTATGTGGCGTGGGTGGGATGTATTTAATTACTGGTGACAAACAGGGCAATTAAGTAGTGGCGAACCACACAAGATAGCCCTCATTCTGACAGCTCCTGGATCGGCATAAAATGCCATTGGAATTGCAGAGCAACGACTCGCTGAGTTGAGAGCGAGCTGCCGACTGTGCTGCGATTCAGTGCACAGGTAAACTTGACTGCCGATGAATGACCCATGCAGACTTAGGAGGGACCGTAGGGAAACGCGGGAGCGCAGTTCAGGGGGGAGGAAGAATTATATATACTGTTGGAATATCAATACTGATGATCGTACGACACCCAATGAGTCAACCATAAATGGTTCATAATTCAGTATCAGAGGCCACAGACTGGAAGTTCAGCACTTGGTTAATGACAATGAGGGGGAACACATTATATCTAGTCAAATAACTCAAGGCGTACAAGGGAGTATATAACTACTTATCTTTCGTTACTAATACATTGTTAATTTACCTTATATATAGGATTTATAAAAACTCTTCTACTATACGCTTACAGATAAAAGCCTTAATATTCACATGTTACTTTTATATAATTACTTAGCCCTACCCCTTTTAACCCAACTCCCCCCCCCCCGCTCTCCCCGAACTGTCAGCCCGGGAAACGCTTACGTAAGGCAATGAAGCAATGGCGGAAGCCCGCCCAATTCAGCAGCTGTGTCACGGCAACAGCAGCAGCGCAACTGCGCCTTGCCTACCCCGCCATGCGTCGTCCCCCCGCCCCGACACCACACCATACAATGAATCCACTCAACAACAGTATGAGCTGGCGGCGCCGCGTTTCGAGCTTCAAAAGTCCAGGCCTGCCATCCTCACCGCACTCGCCCTACCCCAGGCGGCATTGAATACATATCTCAGCCGTCCCGCCCCCCCTACATCTCGCAGTCAACCCCAGAAAATATAGTCGCAGCCCTGTGTAACTGGTTCACACGTCCAGCCCGCCAGCATGCAGTCTGGCATCTCCGGCACGTCTTTCCTTGAACACCGTGGTTCATCGTCTGTCTCCCACGCCACACCGCTAACATACAACAGCCTCCCAGGAGCTCGTCTCCAAGTTCAACACCCTCCTGTCGTCCGATGACCAGTTTGGGCTCCTCATTACGATCGACTCGGAGACCCTCAAACCTGTCCAATTTCTGCCCAAGGCCGCTCCATCCGCCTCTTTTGACGACAACCTTGCCTCTCTCCAACCTCACCTCAAGCCTAATGAAGCTCTCTACGCCCTCCTCCGCCGACACGACACGGCTCCCCACCTCACCGCCGTGACCTACGTGCCCGACTCTGCCAAGGTCCGCCAGAAGATGCTCTTCGCCTCTACCCGCCTGACCCTCGTCCGCAAGCTCGGTTCCGAGCACTTTCGCGAGTCGATTTTTGCTACAACCCCGGAGGAGCTGTCTGCCAACGGCTTTGCCAAGCACGATGCTCACACGGAGCTCGAGGCCCCCCTGACCGAGGAGGAGCGCAGCCTCGGCGCCGTCAAGCAGGCCGAGCAGGAGGCGAGTACTGGCACCGGAACTAGGGAGATCCACCTGAGCAAGACCATGGCCATGCCCATTGCCGAGGATGCCCTTGCGGCTTTGAAGGAGCTGTCTCCCGGAGGCGGCAAGATCTTAGTGATGCTGGTACGCGCCTGCCCATTCTCCTTCTGTTGTGGAAAGGAGAAATCTAACCTATCTTCCCTGCAGAAAATCAACCCCGAGAAGGAAGCCGTCGAGCTCGTCCCCTCCAACGATAGCCCTTCCAGCATCACTGAACTCACCCAGACCATTTCCCCTACCGAGCCGCGCTTCACCTTCTACCGCTTCACCCACAGCCACAACGGCGCCGAGACGAGCCCTCTGCTCTTCATCTACACCTGTCCTGTGACCCCCGGCAACAAGGCCATCAAGAATCGCATGCTGTATCCTCTTATGAAGCGTGCCGTTCTTGCGGTCGCATCCACCGAGGCCGGGTTGACGCTAGACAAGAAGCTCGAGGTCGAGGAGCCGAACGAGATCACCGAAGACTCGGTCCTCTCGGAGCTGCACCCCAAGGTGACGGCCAGACAGGGCTTCAACAGGCCTAAAAGGCCCGGTCGCTAGAAGATACGCGTGACATGACGTTTGCTGTTGTGGGAGTTGTGGTTCGAAAGAGACCCCAGTTTGAATTAGAAGCGTGCAAAAGCATTTATTGGAACACAACCCCCGAGCCTGTAGATCGGGCTGATGATAGACACACAATTCCATCCGCAATGCATTACCTCTATGAAAGATGCGCGCATTCTCGACCTATCTACATATTCGCACCGCTGCTGACCCCCGCCAATAACCTCCCCATGACCAACTAGTGAATCACGACAGCCGCCCTCCAGCAGCATGCACATTAGACCCTGGCATCTTTGCAAACAAAGACAACAGATATCCACCGCTGGAAACAAACATTTCGTGCCCAAGCATCGGCGACCTGCTTCTACTTCTACTCCTCGAAATTGCCCCCGGTAAAAGCGAGGTTGCTCTTCTCCAACTTCTCCTTGAGGAACTCGTAGACGGTGAACGTCACGGCCTGGCCAGGCGCGACGCGCATGATGCGCGGCGTGATGCCCTTGTAGAAGGCATGGAAACCTTCTTGTCTGCATCGGACCGTCAGTATCGGATCACCCATTTCCCCACAGACTTGGAAATCAGCCCCCCCCCCCCTCCCCCAAAGGTGAGCCGAACTTACTTGAACATATCACTAGAGATCTTGGCGATCCGACTCCACGCGCTCGTACCGTATTCGGCCGGCGTCTTTTGCAATCTTGTCTTGATTGTATCGATGGGCGCGTTGCTCAGGGGCCCCATGGCGCCACTGAAGAGCCCGATGAAGGTCGTTTGCCAGCCGGGCAGCGTCGTGCCTTCGAACTCGGGCTGGTACTTCTTGAGCGCCTCCTTGAAGTATGAGTAGGCCGTGAAGTTGACGGCCTGGTTGCTACCTTGCCGCAGCGCCGTCAGCGACACGCCGCGGTACAGCGCACCAAATCCCTCCTCCTTGACGACCGTGTATAGCGCGTGCGCCGCGTTGCGGTACTTGGGGATATCGAGCGGGTCGGCCATGCTGTGGTGCTGCGCCTGGAGGCGGATCTTGATGACCTCCATCGGCGTCACGACGGCGACGGCCTCCGTCACACCGGCGGCGAGACCAGCTGTTCGTACAAGTGTTCAGTCAGCGTCTTTCCCCTCGTAAGGACGCCGCCGACAGCTAGGTTCCTGAGTGACTCACCCATAAACGTTGCCTGGCCGCTGATCATGCCCGTCTGTTTATCCGCCAGCGCCTGTTTGTACCCCTCGAAGCTCGTGAACCGAATGGCCATCTTGGGCACGATGCCCGTCAGCACGGCGCCGAGGCCCTTGTACAGGCCCAGCGGCGTCTCCTTCTTGACAATCTCGACACCCGTGCGGATGAAGCCGCGCTTGGGTGCGCCGGGCTGCCTCGCGCGCCGCGACAGCTGCATCCGAACCTTGATCGTGTCTGTGGGTGAAAGACGTCAATCTACATATCGATTGGCTGCGTCTGTGAGGACCATACGCTGGCGCATACACAAAGGGGGGAAGATTCAGCAAATGCATGCAGGTAGGGTCCTTACCGAGGGGATGACACGCCAACGCCTCCATCATCCCAGCACCTCCACCAGCTGTTGAATTGTATTAGTCGCGATTCGCATATCTCTCCATCTTCAAGAGACGATTTTCGTATCGGTACATACCAATTAGGTTCGTGGCCGCTGAAGTCGGCGTCTTGCCGTCCTGCTTTACCTTGGACGCCATGGTTTAAGAGGGTGGCGCTGCGTGGGATCGAGGTAACAGAATACAGAGAGAACAAGGCTTGCGCCGGAGTCTACAAAGAACAAAACAAATGGTCTTGTTGGTCTTCTTAAAATGCGTGATGCTTCAGAGCGAACAGAGAGGGGAGAGGGGGAATCATGTAAATCACAAGGAAAGGAAGAAGGCTTGGGAAGAGGTCGGGACAGAAGAATAAGACTCGGAACAAGTCGTCGGGGAGCTACAAAGCAAACATCCTCGGCGCCTATGATGAAAGCCACGGCAGGGCGGGCAGGAATCATCCATATCAAGGTGGCGTGTGAAAGGGGACTGGGAGGGGGGTGTGGCTCTCTCCAGAGGTCAAGGCACAAGTCAGAATAGAAAATCAGACCTGTTCCAAGCGTTGGATCTGGCAGATGACTCAGGGTTTGTGCTCCCAAGGAAGAGGTAGGTAGGTGTGTGAGAGTCGTCCGTCCCGGGAGCATGTATGCTTCGACGGGGAAGGCATGAGGAGCAGCAGCAAGGACAGGGCCCAAAAGCAAAAAGGCATATGAGGAGAAGGTCCCTTTCATCCGCGGCACAACGTACTGGAGGCCAGACGACGGGACACACCAGCAGACACTGGGGCCAGGGGTTTCGGTAACCGTAGGCGCCAGAGGGGGGGTATGCGTATAGGTAGACTTTTGACGTCTTCCAGGCAGTGGCTGTATAAAGAGGAGGGGATGAGAAACGGGAATAGCACCTCAAGGATGCGCAGCAAGTGCGCAGGTGAGTGGCGCTGCGCAGTACGGGAGCGTCGTCTGGGTGGCTCAAACCATTGAATCTCCAGACGTCTGTAGCGGGTTGCGACAAGATTGACAAGTCCATCCCGATTCGGCGGAACGGAGGGACTAGAGAGGGGGGCCGGGGGTGCGTGAACTGGGAAGAGGGAAGAGGGGAAGTAGGCCATGGACACGACCGCAAGCGTACGCTAGAACACCACACAAGTCCCTAGAGCATTGGGGAGAGCTCTGCCTGCTTCCTCTTCTTCAAGGAAATAGATGCAAATCCCTGACTGCCATTGCCGTTGCTGCAGCTGAAGGTCCAATTGCGTTCCAGACATAGCGTTGCACTGGACGAAAGGAGCTGCGTACACATCTGTTGCTAGAACCAGAGTCATACCCTACCCTTCTCTTCGTCTTCTCCGATGGGCCAAGGTTCTCCTTTCGGCCTGTGACAATCCTTTTCTCTACGAAAGCGCAACAACGAGTGACGTAGTGTCAATGAGACCCAGTTCCAGCGCGGCATGCTGCGGCAGAGCACACTTGCGGCTTTGCCGACCCTAAGCCGCCGAGCTTGTGATTTTGCGGGGGAGACACCTGGGCTTTGGAGCTGGAGGCGACGCTGGAGTCAGAATGTGGGGATCGGATACTTCCGCCCTTCCGACTGGGCCAGGATCATTCGTCAGAAATTGCCGAGGTTCGGAGGCTGGTCCTGAACACTCTTAACCTCGTTCGCGCTCTCCCTCCATCCGTCCAGCCCAGTCTTGTCGGACATATTCATTGGTGCGCACCATCCCTATATCTGGCCGAGGCGAGAGGTGACAAAAAGTACGAACAACTTTACCACATTCTTATGAACTTCATGGCTCACGACACCTGACGGCGGGACGAAACATGGGGAAAAATCAGCCTGAACCTAGAGTGTTATTTGTAGTAACAGTATCGGATGAAAAGTCACAAGCAGTGAGGGACAGCACAGCCGCACACGTGTAAGACAGAAAGCATGTGATGGTAATGTTACGAGTCGTAAGTTTTGGTAGTAGATTATATGGGGCCTTAAGCTATCCTATCAGGGGCGATAAGGCCCCATCTCCACAGTGGGCACCAATAATGACCCTGCAAAGGTGCAAATATGTATAGTACCTCTATTTACGCCTATTTTTGACTATGCTAGAGGTACTAGTAATTTCCCTGCTTATAAAGAGCTATATTGCAAGTTAAGCAACCTTAACAAGACTTTCTTTAAGTAACGCTATTCCTAGATATTTTACCTAGGGCTACCTTATAGTCTTATAACTTTGCCTTACTATAGTAGGTATAAGGCCTATATTTCTCTCTTAACCCTTCTATATAGTCTTACTATAGAACTATATTATTATACTTATCTATAGGGTACCTAGGCTAAGCTTTTAGTTAACCTTATACTAGTGTTATAAAATATTAAATAAGCTAGGTAGTAATAGTCTTTTACTATAGGTACTAGTTTCTAATAGAGGTCTAGTTAAGGTTACTAAGGTACTATAGTATAAAGGTATTTATAAGTGTAACTAGTAAAAGAAACTCCTAGGCAAAGGCCTACTAGCCCTCTTAATAAATAAGGTGCTCTTATTAATAATAGGCCTTTATCTAGTTACTAATATTTATACTATTTATATAGTAGTTATATTAGTTAATTAACCTAGGCACTAGTAAATTTATCTAGGCCTCTAGGCTAAAGAGACACTAGGTAGCCTACTTAGCAGAAGTATCTCTAGTTAGCTAGTGCTAGTAATAGATAACCTTCTCTTCTAAAGAGGCCTAGAAGATAGTTATAAGAAAAAGTATAAAAGTATTATCCTTTTAGCTAAACTAGTTAACCTATATTACTATAAACTAATTAGTAAAGGTAATATATAATAAAGAGGATTTATTATATATACTAACTTATTTAACGTAGAAATACTATAAATAGTGCCCTAAGGGATACCTTAGCCCTCTATATTCTTTTTAGCTACAAAGGCTAGATCTATTCTACTGTTTCTCTAGTAGGTACTAGAAGCTCTAATACTAAGCTCCTAGAAGGCCTAGAAGAGCTATATAAATAAAAAAAGGTTATCTAGATAAATATAGTAGTTACTAGCTATATAAGGCTAATAAAGGTTATTACTACCTATTAAGTTAAAGTTAACTAGGCTACCTATATAGCCTAGTTAGCCTTAACTTAGCACTAAACCTAAGGGACTAGTCTATATAGGCCTTTACTATAGATATACTAAAGCTACTAGAGGTAGTACCTAGATTAAGTAAAAATCTATACTTTAAAGCTAGTTAAGATTAGCTTTATTAGGATAGTTATTATCTCCTAGGCCTAGCCTATAAACTAGACTATAGCCTTGTTAACAGTAACCTTAGATCTAGGCATATAAAAGAGATCTCTAGCTTCTTAGATATAGGCTAACTATTAGTTAACCCTCTAGTATACATTAGGTATTAGAGGGGCTAGGCTAGCCTAGCTAAGGTTTAATTTAGAAGGGTTAAAGATATAAAGCTAGTAGTATAAGAGTTTAAACTAATCCTAGGCTATATACTAAGTAAATCTATAAGTAAGGCTAATCTCTAATAGCCTAGTTAACTAATATTTATTAATTTAAAATTCTAGGTGTAAGCCTATATAAATTATAATTAATAAAAAAAGGTATATCTTATTAACTAAGGTATCTCTCTAGGCAAAGGCTTATAAGTATAGCTTAAAAGGGCTATAGAAGGTCTTTAAATAGTTATTAGTCTATATAACCTACTAGGTAACAAAGGTAACTAGGATAAATTAGAGGAAGAGGTTAACTAGAGAATCTAGTAGCACTAAGATCTTTAGGGCCTAGACTAGCACTTTAAGAAGTATAAAGGAGCCTAGAGGCCTAGTATCTAGAGCCTTGTCTAGCTAGACAGTACTATTATTACAGCGCTCTAGTAGGCAATTTTAGGTACAGGCAACAGCAAGGTCCTCTAGGTAGACCTTAATATAGTCCTAGATAAATCTAGCAGTATTAGAGTTAGAAGATATAATTAAATAGTTAATAATATTAATTTTAGTGGTATTACTATATAAAATAATATTAAGATAAATGTTGTTATATTATATATTCTTATTATGTGCGTGTAGTGTAGAGAAATAAGTGGAGATGGGGCCTTATTGCCCCTGATGGGATATCCTATACTTGGATAGTGAGAGCGAACCGCTCTTCTTTTTTCTTTTTTTGGATTCCAATCCAGTTGCCTTTGTTTCCAACAACATAGCTACACGCCCCTAAACGCCACCCATATGATCAGGCCTTTCCCCCCTGGTTCCCGTGGTCCACAAGGACATCTAAATACTCTGAACAAGAAGATACAAATAATGGTAGCTTTTTTCCCATCATGCAACGGTGTCCGTCCCTCGTAAGGTCGCTGTTGGGGAATCATTGCGCCAAACACCCGCCAAACACCCGCCAAATAAGACAGGAAAAGAGGGGATCACAAGAAAATAAGCCAACCCTCAATTTCAAAAGAAGAAAATGAACCCAATGATTGGGTCTTATGCAGGGGTGCCGCACTCTTCAAGGAGAGGACCGTCTGCCTCAAAACTGTAGAGGCGTACTTCGCCATCTTCGCTTCCGCTGGCCATGCGACTGTCGCTAAGACCGACGCAGGTGACGGGACCAGAGTGGCCAGTGAAGGTGCGTTCGCACTTGCCGCTCTTGGGTTCCCAGACCTTGACCATGGAGTCGTTGGCGCCGGTGACAATGCGCAAAGTGTCGCCAACAAGGCCCCAGATGCCTTCGACGTGGCCAAACATGGTGCGAAGACACTTGCCGGTGTGGATGTTCCACACCTTGACGGTGTTGTCAAGGCCGGCGGTAAGCATGTAGCGGGGCGGCAGCTGCCGAGTTGAGTCCGAGGAAAAGGCGCAGCCGAACGACGGCCGGTCGTCTTCCGCCGTCACCAGGTCGCTGCCGAAAGAGGAGCCGAGAATGGACGCCGCATTGGCAGAAGCCGCCGCCGGGGTCGTACTCCGGCCACTGTTGACCGAGGCATTGTCGTCGCCAGCGAGGGCCTCCTCGTCCGGTTCAAAATCGTCGGGCATCAGCAGAATCTGCTGCACCTGGCCCATGTGGCCCTCGAAAGTCTTGATGCATGTCTTGTTTCGCAGGTCCCAGAGGCGGACGGTGCAATCGTCGGAGGCCGAGAAGAGCGTCTGGGAGCCCGGGTCCAGCCTTACTTGGTTGACCCAATCCTCATGGCCACGAAGGCAAAAGGTTTCTTTACTGTCAAAGTTGAAGATCTTGATTGACTTGTCGATGGAGCCTGATGCCAGGTACTTTCCGTCGAAATCGACTGTGATGACGCCTTCAGTGTGGCAACGGAGAGTGCTGATGCAGTCACCTGTCTGCCAGTTCCAAACTTTGACTGTGTGATCCAAGCTGCCGCTGAAAAGCTTGTTGCCAACAAACTTGAGAGTGCGGATACCCATCGTGTGACCACTCAAAGTGCGAATCTCTTCCCCCGTCTCGATATTCCAGATCTTGATCTTGGCGTCGTACGACCCTGTGGCAAGGATCTCGTCATCAAACTGCAAACAGGTGACACCGTTGTCGTGGCCTTTGAAGGTCCTAATGTGGCATCGACCGTACTTCCAGTTGAAGCCGACCTTGAAACGGTCGCGGTACACGCTCTTCCATGGTCGGACCAAACGTTCACGCTCCTTCTCGGTCCCCGACTTGGACGCCATGGGCTCGCCCGGATCACTCAAGCAGGTTCGCTTCCTACTGTCGTCGAGCACGACAAGCTCCCGTTTCTTATTGGCGTTGGGGGACGATACTGTCGCAATCTCCTCGGCCTGCTCCATGGCCTGGACGGGCGCGGCCTCCTGTAGACTCCTGGCTTCGGCAAGCTCCTTCTGCTTGTTCCAGTCTCGTAACCTCTTTCGCTCGAGGAGGGGCAGGCCGAAGCCACACTTGGTACACTTGCGGTCGATGTGTTGCTCGCACATGCGGTGCCATACGACGTCGTCGTCGGCAAGGTCCCGCCATCTCCTGCTCACCTGAGCGGCCTTGCAGAGGGAGACAGTGTCGAGATAGCCAAGTACCTTGTAAGATATCTCGGTCGGAAGTGCGGCCATAAAGTCGATCTTAAGTTGCTCGTGCACCTCTCTCGAGACGGTAGACAGTTGGGGAAAGCAGCATTGTGTGATGATGCCCTGCAGCATTAGGTCGCGGTGCTTAGCGGGAGCGGCCGAGAAGAGGGACCAGACGTGGGTGATGGCTTGTTGGTCGGCGGAAGGAAGCTTGTCGAGTTCCTGTGCAGGAGAAGTGTCAGCACGGAGTCGATAGGCCCTATGGACATCACGGCAAGGCGAGCTTACACTTTGGATTAAGACCATCTTGGACTCGTCGGCGGCACGACGACACTTTGCGTCGGGGCGGTGACGGTAACAAAACTTGCTATTGGGGTCGCGGTTCTGGTTGAGGTTGTTGTTGTCATTTTGGACATCAGGCTTTCCGATGGGAGCATAGATGCCAGGAATGTGTTCTCTGAGGAAGGGGGTGACGGTCTGGCCGACGAGTTGAGTGGGCATGTTGGCGGGAAACTTTGAGACGTCGCCGTCGTCGGGTCGCCGTCTATCACAGTTGTCTCTGGATGGATGGTTCGCCGTTGTCACATCGTCGGCGAGGGAAGCCGTGGTTGAGGGAGCAGCTGAGGCGGTGAAGGTCGGGGTGCTGTTGAAGTATGAGTCGGACGAGGCAGGTGTTGAGGCTTGGTCGTCATGACGGTGACTGGGCGACGACGGATTCAGGTTCCTGTCCAGGCCCAGACCCAGGTTCAAGTTCAGACTCCGGGGATCCGGGACGGTTGACGTGCTTTCGAGGTCCATAGCCGCAATATGTTTCAGCGGGCAGTAGAAGCGAAGCAAGACACAGTATAAAGGGTATGGGGGTGGATGGTATCAAACCATCCGGGAAAGAGACGGGCGGGCTTGCTTGGTGTTACCGAGTGTAGGGAGGTACAAGAGACGCAGCCTTCAAGCGAGCAACAGGAAGCAGAGCCCCGACGAGGGTCAGAGACCGGCGGTGGGGGGAGCAGAGAGAGATAGGGAGGGAGCCGTGTACAGTGACACTCGAGTGACAGGTCGTGGGCCCGGGTTGTTTTAGGTGAGGGTGAGGCGAGAGGACCTGGCGATGGCGTGCGAGCCAGGGGAGCGTCGATTCGTGTATATGCTGTACGATTGCAGCGGCTGCAACAGGTTTGGCGTCTGTGGTATCTTTTGCTTGGTAGGCCTTCAAACAGGCTAGGTAGACCAAGATGTGAGCCCAGACGATCCACAGGAACGGGGTCCGACTGATTCCGAGGGTGGAATTCGAGCAAGGGCACGCAATCGTGGTGCAGTTTGTGCAAGTGCGCGCCTCTCTGTTTCTCTCTGTCGTGCGCGCGCACAGGTGGACGGGCGTGTAGGTATGTATGTTGAGACTCGAAGCAGGTGGGTACTGGCAGGAGGTTGAGCCGCCGAATGATTCGCTGGTCGAGCACAGAGGGGAGGGCGTCGTTACTTTTTTCTTGTTGTTATTCTTGTTGTTATTCTTGGATGCCGTCGCAAGATTTGGTCGACAGCCCGAGAAGAGTTGGTCTGAAGTTGAGACTCGAAGGGGGGGGGGGGGGGGGGGTGTTGCGTAGTACGGCTAGGTTTGGACGAGGGTATGCTATCAGCCACGTCAAAGTGCGCCGTGGAGCCGGTCGTCTTCGCCTTTGGTGCTGGCGATGTCGTGCGTATTGAAAGGGGAAGAGGGTATCTAGTGTGTCTTGTATCTGGTATTGCTCCTGTCTCTGATCCGTCCGAGAGAGACGAGAAGGGTAGAGACGAGAAGGGATACTCAGTACTTATCCGCCGTTTCGATTGCGGTTGCGAGTAATGGGGAGGAGGAAAGACAAGGACCTGGGAGGAAGAGACAAGTACAAAGCTGAGCGACGGGGGTCAGTCGGGCTGCGAGCGATTCTTTCAGGAACCAAGGAGTATAAGCAATCGCTGCCCAAATTGAGCAAGCATAGCATAGCATAGCATAGGTAGATAGGTAGGTTGACTACCTAGGTAGCATAGCACAACGGCACGAGATTTGGATGTGGATGTCGAACCAAAGAGTCGGGTTGGGTGCTTTGGGGCGAGAATGGCGTTATCGCTAGGAGGTGAGCAGTCCGTTGGTTCGTGTGCCAAAGGAAGAAAGGTATTCAGTGTGTGTGTCTCGTGGGGCGCGGTGGTGACTCCCTTTCTCTCTCCCCCCGGAGGTTCCACCCGTCGACAGCGGCTCCTAGGGGTCGGAGATCCGCTAAGGCGTGCTCTAAGACCCACTTGGATTGCCAGCAGCGGTTGTCGCTGACTGTTTGGTGCTGCCCTGAAGCTAAGGAATAGGCGGTGACGGGTACCGACGCGGGTCTCGCTCCACTGCACCATCACCGATAGCCGAGATGCATCTCCGACAAGCGACACTGCAGCTGTTACGTAAGGTCAGTAGGTATCTAAGGAACCATTTGGTGCTGGCGCACCCTCTTGTCCGCGATGCACCAATAACTAGGTTTTTCTGCACGCAAGCTGACGAAGTAGCACTGAGTAAATTACTAGATAATTTGCTAATGTAAACTTTTACGTCTTTGGCTCTACATACACACACACACACACACACACACACACAAACAGCCCAAACAATAACAATCATGCCATGCAAGCAGGTAAATAGCATATCGCCTGTCATCAGTTCCCCAGTTTCACCATGGCAAGTGCCGGTCGAGCCTCAAAGTGGGGCCATAACAGCTTGCTCAACATCTCGCTTGGGAACTTGACAACACCATTCGGCGCTTGCGTCCTACTGTCTACATTACATAAATAGATACCTACCAAGGTAGATCACCTGGAGAGCGTTTTGCGTAGGTAGGCGTGTAAAGTAGACTGTACTTCCGTCAACTACACCTTTGGTCGGCTTTACCTGGCAGCACGCTCGATCATGCACTAACACATGGTCAGGTGTCCCTCAATGTTTACTTTCACTTGTCTCTTTCGCCTCCGTTGCCTCTAGGCCCAGATTGGCTCATCGTGGCCACCTCTCGCGTAGTTTCTCTCTCGTTATCTTCTGGGTTCGACCAAATTGGCCAGCCTGGAAGAGCACGAAAAAAAAAAAATCTTCCGTTTCCATTAACAACAGCCCATGGACTCCCCCCCCCCCCCGCCCCAGTCAAGGACTTCGTTCCTAATTTCGTCGGCATAAAATTTACAATACTTCAAATTGAGCTCGTCATTTTATTGTGGGTATTTTATTTTACTCATGGTGTTCGTATACCTACCTACCCCGAGGCGCAAGGAGAAGAAAAACATAATCAATGCACAAGGGCCTCCGCAAACTAAACTACAATGGCTGTACTCCAGGTTTCTGTGCCGCGCCGAGTACCGACGATGAGGTTAAGGCCAACGCCTATGTTGCCATCCTAGCCGTCAATCCCCCCAATCGGGATGAGCTAACGCGAGCCTGCAATGGCGTCATTTTCTCAGCCCGCAGCTGATTGCAACTCGCTTCCATGGTTGCTGCAAGCACCTCATTCTTCTTCCAGAACCACATTTCTATCTGTACGGCTTCAATTCTGGAGCTCCCTTCCCTCATCGCCTGCTTGGTTTGAGCAGGATGAGGTAAGCATCCATATGTAATCCTCATCAGTCTTCAACAGTCGGAGGAGGCGCGGGTCCGCCCGTATCATCGGCTCGTCATCCCTGACCAAACTCAATCACCGCGCTAGCACCCGAGAGCTCCTTCTGTTCTTTCGGCTCCTTCTCTCCGCCACCGTTGAACATCTTTTTCCCAAAAAAAGACCTTCAGGCATGGCAAGCCTTGGCAACAACGTAACCCACCATTGGCTAGTAATTCATGGACTCCGAGATCTTCTCCGGCCAAGACTGCGAGCCTGCACTCCAACCAACCAGACAGCCAACCGATAGCCGCGGTGGAGCCACTGCCACCAAACCCTGGATCACGCCGACTCCACTTCCCCAACCCTTGTTCTAACCCTTCACCGAGACGAGACAGTGAGCTCTCTACCTGTTTGTCTGTATCTATTAACCCTACCTCATCGAGAGTTCGATTGAGATGATGGGACCGCAAGATAAGATTGGCAGATCACGCAATATATCCTTTTGCTTCCTCATACAATGCTCTCCAACCTGGCACTGATAACGTTTCCCGGATCCAGCCGCCTACGTCCTTCCAACTACGTCCTAACATCTGAGTTTTATCCTTGAACCAGACGACAGCAATCAGACACAAACGGAAAACGAGAGCCACGATAGCTCATCTTATCCTTAGTGTGAATCAACGGCCATCCGCAAACACATATATCATTTTGGCAGTAAGGCTGCTCAGCATCCTGTTCCAGTACGATGTTGCCAGTTCCCAATATGGGCAAGAATAAAGAAATCAGATAATACCAGCAGAGGGCCAGCTGACACGCTAGTAATGTAGACATTAGAGGTATTGAAGGACAGGCACTTTGGTAAGATTTGGATGATCAGGTCGTCAATGGCTTGAGCGTGGGCGACGCCATCAGGGCGGGTAAGGTTATTGCCGCCTCCCCAGCGGAAATTCACATCTGGCGAGAGAACAGCCACCCCAGCCAGGTTTGATCTTTACGCCCTGGTTGGGCATCTGGAAGAACGACCCGCCGCCGTCACCGTGGATCAAGACGTGAAGTCCTAGGGTTTCCCCGGCGCTGGTTTTATCGCCACCGGGGTCTTCACTAGCAGGAGTAAACTCGCCAACAGGACCGCTAACACGGAACCGCATCTTGAACCCATTAATCGCCTTGTCAGTGTTTCTATAAACCTGTTTAGGATTTTACAAGGAGGAGGAACCCGCTTTATAGTCTCAGTAGTATCCAATACTACGGAGCCATCTTTAGCCTATTTTATGCCTTGCGGTACTCTGTTTGCTGCATCTAACGGAGTCTCGGCTCTTGTATGTAGACCCCAGACGGTCCTAAGTGGGGCAGTAAAAAGTACAACACAGGCGGCTGGTAAGTGGGTTAAAGACTGCATCTTGATAAAGTAGTTGCTCGAAGTTGCTGTGCCTTAGCTGGGGAGGAGTGATGGTGATGCGAGAGAGATGTTAAGAAAATTTCGACCAACGTAAAGTCGGTCCACTTTATATTTAGTCCTACACGGCGTTATTTTCTCGAACTACAAAGGTATTCTCAAGCAACAATGGGTATTGTATAGTATTGAAGTCATTTCTTGCAGTGGCTCGAGAGCCACGCTAAGTGTTTAGTACAAACTATACACGGTTGTTTCGTCCAGCATCAGCCGTACTATTAGGCTACGAGTAATGCGCCAGTGGGTTAAAAGCGCAGTAAAACAATCGATAGCATAGATTGTAGCCATCATGCTTCAAGATACGGCATGGGGGATACAATAGCTGCAACTCGCCACTCATTGGCGTGCTTTCATCACAAATTCAATCGAGAAACAGAAAGTGAAAATCCCTGGCCCTAGCGATGCATCATCCCTACTACAAAGTCGGCCTTATGAAACCGCGTATGGAGGCACTTTTAAGATACCAAGTCTTGCTTATCCTAAGTCATTCAAGACTATATTTCAATACATGCTAAGCCCTTGGTATTACAAACCGTTAGGCTTTGTACAAGCACTGGAAACCACGGTGCTCCGCTCGCTTTGGAGGGGTAAGCTTATGTCTTGGAATTGATCATTGTTCCCGGACTGGCAGGGCATAGACAAAGTATAGAGAATCAATGGAGAGTGCAGAATTCTCGTGAAGCCTGCCATCAAATCCCGCATCTTCGTCTTTCTTCATGACCTTGTGCCAATACACATCTGCAAGAACTGAGACAGCATGAATAGGAACTTACTAACTGGCACTATAGCTGGCGAAACCATTTATGCAGCCCTTGACGTTACCTGTCATGGAGACAGAGAGTCAAAAGCTCACCCAGAAACTCCTGACAAGCCCTCTGCTATATGCTGACTTTGTTACTTGTATCAAAGTATGGCCAAGCACTATAAAGTTCAGATGTGAACCAGTCCCAGGGTATAACAATGATTCAAGGTAAAGAGGAACTATCTTCGTCGCTATCTATAGCAAAACTTTCCTCGCGGCATTGTTGGCATCTCTGGAAGCAAGTACGTTTCATCTCAAATGTACACCTGGGTCCCGAACAAGGTATCGTTTGATCACGGCCACGGAATTCCTTCAAGGCACATATATATTCTCCCTTAGTTAACCGTGATGCATAAGTAGCGGCGTCAGCTCTTAATGAAGTCAGCACAAATACCTGTATACCACTACATTCTCTTGTACAGTGGGAACTCCAATTTCCCGTATATTACTTAGATTTAAGTTGAAGACGAGTGCCCAGTCAATGCCGTAGGCTATATATCTTTCGAATGTTACCAAGAATTTCAAACTCGTGTGTTGGAAAACAAGAGCTTTCATGCCGGTTTCTTTGACGTGCAAGTCCGCTCATGATCAAAAGCTTAAGGACAATGTTCAATCTAAGGGCACGCTCAATTCTCTTTTTAGTATGACTGATCTTTTCACTGTTTTGTATGGATCTTGTGGCCTGCCCAGCTATTCCTCTACCTCAGCGTTTGAGCTTTTCAGCGGTAACACTATTACTTTCACATCGACGCTGAATCCGAACTCCATGTCTATTTCCGGCTCCCCAACGACACGCTTAACGAGCTGACAGCACTTCTCCTTTTCGGAATAGGAAAAGAGACAAGCTCGTGGTCATGTTTAGTTAATGGAATACAGCGACGCGCCATTGGCACTGCCGAGGAGTGACATAATACTTACTTTAGCTTTGTATTGTTCTGCGCCACTTATCGACACGACACGAGTCGCGGGGGCGGATCGAACATTTTTGCCGGCGCTATCTATGCGAGGGTCTTGCTCAGTGCGGTTGCTCTTGCGGATGAAGCTGGGTCTTTCTGGAAAAAGCGCCGTTCAACAGCATCTGAATAAGAATGTGCCGAGTTCGTAGCCGCAGTCGGGAAGCATGTTTATACTTTCTCCGGATGTTATAAGATTAGAGCAAGGCAAAAAGCTCTCCAAGGGTCTAGGCTTAATTAACAACTGTTCATAGGGGTCATGCTTGCAACCTGTCTGCTGTCAATATTGCTATAGCTGCCTTAATAAAAACGCCAGCTTGGAAAGCCATGATTAGTTGCCGCGGGGTTGTACTCTCTGCCAATATAGAGGAAGCCAATTCCTTTTCAAATAGCAATGCCATACCACGCTATGGTTCATCTAATCACAGTCATGGACAAGACGAGGTATACTAGCATTCGAAGCAAAAGTAATCTCTTGAGCGAATATATGTCTCAACTGATTACAAGCGAATTGGAACGTTCGAGGACATGATGGTATGATCTATATCGTGAAGATATATATATACTTTATGTAAACTAATATACAGGAAAGAATTTGTACATGAAACAGAACGATCCAAGGTCGGATCAGAACCGCTGGCGCCACAATTGTGAACATCCACTGCGAGCCCACTAACATTTCACTCCCTCGAGCCATATAATATGGGCCAACGTCTATAAGAGACAAAGCACCGAGAGTAATCGGCGGAATGTTGGGATTTATACGAGGCGACGTTCGTGGATGGTCATGCGCTTGACACGGGGAGTGGCAGAGGGAGTCTCCGCGGGGCAATCGTCCTCGTCGTCGCCGGCGGCCGCGGTGGGAGCGGCAACGACAGGAGCAGTGGACTCGGCAGGGCAGTCGTCCTCATCGTCATTGGCAGACTGAGTGGGAGTAGGGGTGGCAGAGGGAGTCTCGGCAGGGCAGTCATCCTCGTCGTCGTTGGCAGCCTTGGTGGGAGTGGCGACGACAGGAGCAGTGGACTCGGCAGGACAGTCGTCCTCATCGTCATTGGCAGACTGAGTGGGAGTAGGGGTGGCAGAGGGAGTCTCGGCGGGGCAGTCATCCTCTTCGTCGTTGGCAGCCTTGGTGGGAGTGGCAACGGGGGAAGCATGAGTAGTAGTGGCAGGAGTCTCGGCAGGGCAGTCATCCTCCTCGGCATCTACCTCCTTCGCAGTAGGGCCGGAGGCCACCGCGGAGCTGGTGGCGGAGGGGGTCTCGGCGGGGCAGTCATCCTCCTCATCGCTGGCAGGCTGGGTAGAAGTGGCAACAGGGGCAGCGGCGGTGGTGGTGGCGGGGCAGTCTTCATCGTCGTCGGCGACGGCGGTCTGGCTAGGGGTGGCGGGCGCCGTGGTAGCAGCAGGGGCGGAGGGTGCAGGAGCAGCAGAAGAGACGGGGGCAGAGCCGGAGCCGGAGCCGGAGCAGGAGAAGACCTTGGGGCCAGGAATCGTGTACGGCTGAGCCTTGTAGGCGTCGTAGGTGATTCCAGCGTCGGTGCCCTTGTAAGCACCGGGAAAGGCAACCAGGTCAGAGGGGTTGATGCTGCCGGAACCGGTAACCTCGATCTGGTGGCAGCTGGGGTAGAACTGAGCACCGGGGTAGGAGAAGGCGGCGTGGAGGGCAATGATCTCGTGACGGACGAGGTACTGACCGGGGGCAATGCACTCGGGAATGGTGTACTTGACACCAGAGTTGCCGGCCTTCATAAGAGGGGTCGCACCCCAGTTGTTGGAGGTGCCCTCGCGGCCCTGCTCCTGAATTTTAAACCAGGCTGCATCTTTGCCAGGCTGCCAAGTGGTGCAGTCGTTGTTGGCGCACTTAGCCATGTAGGTGATGGTAGGGCCGATGTGGGAGTCAGGCCAGATGGTCCAGTCAAGGGTGACCTCCTCGCCGGCAGCAGCCTTAGCAACAAGCTTGGCGGGGTTGGTACCGCCACCGGCGGTAGCAGCACCGCACTGAATGTCGATGCTGGTGACATCTTCAACGGGACCGTTGCTCTGGATAGCACGAGATATGCGTTCAGGGGCGGGTTTCATGTATGGGTCCTGGTAGGGCTGGTAGAATGTAAAGTTCTTGCCGCCGATCACAGCGTTGTTGACGATACCGTGAGCGGCCACCAGGGCCGCAGATCCAAGAAGAGAGGTGACAGTGGACTTCATTTTGGCGGCTGGAGAGCTTGAAATGGGTTTGGCTTGTCTTTGAGAGTTGTTCGAGAAAATTGCCGAAGCCTTGACTGTGAGAATAGCTTGGTTGGTTGGAAAGCGAGTGTCGGGGATAGGTCTAAGACCGAAAAGAACGAATGACAACCTGGTCAGGTGAAAAAGAATGACAAAATTGGAATAAAGGAACGAGATAGACACACAAGTCAAGTGAAGCTGAACACTATGGATCGCAAGGAGAGATGTCAGACCTGGCGAGGGCCGGGCAGAAACAATGATATATACTAGAGAGCTTTGTACGACGGTCTCTCAAGATGGCCGCTTGCACCGCTGTCTTGCCTCTCGACCCCATCAGGTCAAAATTGAAAGGACCAATCCCGCCGTTCCGCCAAAGTTTCAATTATACGCAAGACAATCATATCCGGCTATTTGGTGGGGGTAAACATGGGAGGGGGATCTCGAGTATGCGGGAGATAGGCAGGGCTAGGATTCGGTATAGTGGGCTCGAATCTGATTTACTACGAGTGATGGGTGGGCGAGGACTAGGGGTCTGGGACATGTGCCTCGGGGGGGAGCCAATGGACTCATGACAACTTCTCTCATGTTGCCGGTTGCGAGAAGAGAAGCTCGGGAGACGTAAGCCCATGTTGTTCCCCCGAGAATGACAGGCGAGTGCCAACTGTTCCTCTGCTGGTGTTCGTAACGTGGACATATAGGACATGTTCCCAGGCTGTAGGACGGACACTAACTACCGCCTAGACAGGTCACGAGGTTCAGGATCTGTCATGTCGTTGTCAGTTGAGACAAGGAAAACTACAGCAAACAAGATGAGACAACGCGAATTTCCTCGGACATGGGATGACTTTTGAGAGAGCCAACCGTTGAAAAGGGATACCCGGCCGGGGCCATCGTACTTCATCCCCACTCTCGAGCTTCGCTGGCCGAACCGATTGGCTCGTCCCGGCGCGTCACGCTCTCAGTTGATCCCTTGTCGGATCCCCGTCAGATCCCGGTAGCCACCCTGAAACCACTAAATCCTGAGACCCGTTCCCTTCTTAATTGTACCGCCGAATTCACCCTGCGCCGTTGATGACTGCAATCAACACCTTACGCGCTATATCTCGAAAGGTGTTTAACGTCCTGGGTCGCTGCGGCGGAGCCTCAGGGATTGTCCGTCAACGTACATAAGTAGAATGCTTTCTGCAGACCACTTTGCCCCTGCACCGAGCATGGCGAGATGCAGGTATTTTTCTCCCCCATTCCACCAATCCTCTTGGCGCTTTATCCCACCAGGGAGTTGCGGGGGGTTATGCCTGTGAGGAGTGAAAGGCTCAGCGTCTAGGAAATCTAGGATGGGTTGCTCTGCAGCCGTTTCCTCTCAGAGATGAGCTTCACCATCCAGTCAGCATTGGGCTCTAGATTGCATGTCAGCCGTAAGTAAATCACACTTCAATGCTTTGCTGGTGCGGCGGCCCAGCTCGACACGTCAAGCTGCCGGCACACTAGAAGAACAGAACCCACTATGTGAGGTTGGTTTACTACGTACGGATAGGGCAGGGCGATACCCGCCTCCTTACGGTGTCGTCCTCGGGGGCTTGGCAATACGTCCATTGCGGCGGCATGAATCCGAGCAGGTACGTTCGCGCCATCGCCATCAATGGTTAACAGTCAGCGGTCTCGACACTGGCATAAAGGCAAGGATGTCCTTTTAAAGCAGCGTGCCACCTCTGTCAGCCGCCGGGTCTGTCGGTCATGATCTTGTTATTACGTTTTCTTCCCCGTGCGAATCGCCCTGCGCTTCCTCCACTCAAGTCTCCACCAGAACCCAGCTCCGAACCAGACAACTGGCGTCCTCACAATTTTCCATCAATGTTCCACTCAAGGTGGCAGATCCAACAAGGATTTCCCGCCCTTGCATGATCAGCGAGCGTGTACACACAGCCAGCCCTATTGCACATTTTTAGTTCCTGTCACAGTCCATGTTGGAAAGACGGTGGTTGTGGCGACACTCAATATGACGCACCTATAAATGCCCTTGGGCACCCAGCCATTGGGGGCGCTTATGGGTGATGGGATCGCTCAAACCAAATCACTTTATCACACAATCAAGCCACGAGAAGATTGAGTCATGGCTGTTATGCATGGGGTTATTCGAGCCCTTGGGCACTCATTATCTATTCTGTAGTCACTCGTGGGTATCAAGCTGACATAACTAACATAACGAAACATGGCATAACCGTATCGATAAAGATCATGCAATCATAAAGCGCCCCTACAGGCAGTACCGCACAATACCATGGAGTGGCTACAAAACGTCAATGGTTGTGGTTGTGGTTGCGCTGTCTTTGCCGCTCGAAGATGGCCAAGCCGGATATGACAGCCATGACCGCCCAGCGTTCGCCCAGCTCGCCTGTGAGGCCACTGCCCAAGAATGCGAACTTGGCCTGCTTGGACAAGCTCATTTGGGCATCTGTCCACACTGCGACCACTTCCTTCCCGTCACTTCCCTTGAAGGTGGCCGGCCCGGCTGATTGGGCCAGTCTAACCAGCTTCCAGCCCCTGCTCCTCCCATCCAGCATGGCAATCGCTTCGCCAGAGCTTGGCCTCCACTGAAACTGCTCGAGCCGTTCACAGTTCGGTCCAACGCCCATTGTAAAATGATACGTTGACGAAGGAAAGTCCAGCTTAGATCCCAGTTCGATAACGGGTGCTCCCCCGGGACTGCCTCTTGGCGCAGGAGGCAGCGTTATGCTCATCCTGGTGCTGAAGCTGTGATACTCCACTGAAGCAAGTGGTGGGAAGGCATTTGTCGGCCCGGAGTGCAGCACCATTGGCGGTGAACTGCCCAAACCACTGTGCAATGACATGGCATAGGATGGCTGATTTTGGTGTTCGCCGAGGATCATTGTCCGGCTGAAGCTTTGCGTGTAGACATTAAAGGCCGGCGGGAACTGGCGGGCCACTTGCGACGGCGGCGGCGGCGGCATCGGCGGTCGTGGGCTCGGTGAGTGCGGTGTCTGAGTGTCAGGGATTGGGCTTCGGCTGGGCTTTGCTTCATATGGCGGCGGGGCTTCGTCCGCAGGGACATCCGCGACAGGCTTCATCTTGAGGAATCCGGAGGCGAATGGCATTGTAGATTGGCTTGTGCGACAAGTGGACTCGGTTGAAGGTGCTTTGCAAATAACGATGAATTCCCATCATCACCTGGACCTCATCGGCTCTTAAAGCATTTCCGTTCAACATGATGTCAGACCGAATCCTCTTCACAGCCACATGCCTGACTATACTAAGGTGGCACAATACTACCTTGCGAATATGATCTACGCTCCACAGCCACCTCTCCAGGGTCGGCTCAGATCGACATCACCACCTAAACGAGTCCATGCAGGGGTATGTTTTCGGTCCCCCTGGACACGCGTGGGAACTGGGACTGTTGATTCCTAGCCTAGAGGCGCAATTAGGCATCGGTCTTGGATCAGTCCTTGTATTCAAGAGGTGCGATACCGTGGACCAGCATGACTCGCTATTAGACTGCGCCATCGTGGAAACTAACACCACATATATTTTGCAACGTGTTGCAAACGTCAGTCACGTTTTTGTTCCACGTGGGCTTTTTACTTCTGCATCTCGCCGACGGATCCTATTATGAACGTCAAGCGCCTCCCTTCGCGACAACTCCGACCAAAACACAAACACGACGCCTCAATGAAGAAACTGGGGTCACTGGTACTTTCTCCTAGGTCTTTTATCAAACAGGTCACCAATGCCAGCCTATCACAGTGCATCTTGTGGCTCAGACAGAGATTGAATCATGAGAGCTCGAAAGGCCTTGGGGATTTCAATGCTGTTGAGTAGAGAACCTGCGCTGGAAACGAATGAGACGCCGGTAACTCTCAGAAACAATATATTACTGTCTTGTGTCGGCACAAACATCTGACACGTTGACAACTCGAGGAACAGATCTACTGGTTCTCCTTGCCTACAAGACTAAGACATGTTGATGCGGTAGGGTCTTGTAGAGGCTGGGAACGTCAACTCGAGTGACATATTTTCTCCGGCAAAGAGCATATGACGAATTCCTATTTCATTGAAGTGTGTTGTCAGCGAGGCAGCGCCCAAAAGGACAAACAAATAGTGGACAGCAGGTGGAGATGCCCATCCTATCTTTTGGTGATTCATGGTGTCTTTTGAAAGCACCGGGATCTGACTTTTGTGATGATCATCGAGCCCAGACGGCTTCCAAGTGGCTGTCGGTTTCTATTTCGTACCTGATATCAGCACCGCTTTTATTAAGTCCTAACTGGTTAATACATGGCTTGTTCTGGTAATGTATAAGAGAGAGCCACCAGTCCTAGTATGAGAAGATAGAGTCTTTCACCCTTTGCGTCAAAGATAGTGCTGGACCTCAACTTACTCGGATATATTTGAGGTCATACATGCGGCAAATTCGGCATTTTACGGGTACTCTTATATCAAATACGTTACACGGACGACGTTACGGAGGCCAGGCACTGTATATTACACCTTAGTCACGTCAACATTTATAACTGATGGTCTGCGAAAGGACACGGAGCTTAGTTAAAGCAAAGTTTATCGGAAAATTGTGCGTGACAATGATATCCGAGGTCCATAAGAAAACGTGTTCACAGAACCGCCATCATGGAACGTATGGTTGATATTTGGATATGGACACAATACATACACTCCATAAACGCCCTGACAATCAGTTGCATCAGAATGAAGAGCAAGTTCTCTTCTGTGAGCAACGGAGAAATCCAAGCCTACGAATGATCCAAAACAATACTTATAAACGACTGAACTGGTCGCAACACTCTAGGAATGCCGAGCACGATCCGCCAGGCTGTTCGCTGTTGTCCCCGAATAAGGGAAGAAGATAATGGCATCGCCGTGCGATCAAAGCATCCGGCCTTCGCGAAAATGTTGACAAGCACAAGATCTCCGGCCGGATGACCTTCAATTATTGAATTTAACATGCTTCGCACCTGACTCCAATGTAAGAAAGTAAAACGAATACTGGATCGCCATAACATTGAGAAATACTTACTGGAAGCCCTCCTTCTCTTGCTCGCATAAAAAGCATACGTCGAATCCTCCTCACCGCCGACGCCTTCCTCGGTGCCTTTGTCCGACGTCAAGATCTGCGCGAAGCGGTTAGTACCGCTGGTACCATGGTAGAGAGACGAAACACTTATTACATAGTCAAATCTCGCCGAGGCAAACACCAAAGCCATGAGCACGATCACCACCAAAAGCAGGCCGCCAAGCCCATTCATGTCCGTAAACATTCTCAACATCTTTTTCATGTTCCTCAGAAAGATCTGCCCCAGGAATGGGAAATGCCGATCGGGCCGTGATCTAGCGGGTGTCCTATGCACGGTCGCTGCGCTGTTCACGAAATCGATGCTACACGGCGGCAATCAACGGCAATCAAAATGTCGAACAAGGTTTGGCGCAACCTGGAAGAAGAGAGGAGGAGAGGTCACACCCTCCGGAATGACGGCCTGAGAAGAAATCGAACGCAATATGAATCGCGGGGTAAGACAGGGTCAGCCATGCTCTGGACGGCAGTCGACCATCAGATTTACCAACAAAAAAGGCTCGCTGGTCTGACACAGCAGAGTAGGGCACGACATTCGCGAATCTTATACTGGCACAAGGGCCATAAGTCCATAACCAAGTGACCACCTCTGATACGTGGGGGGAAGGCCAAGTTCCGAGCGGCCAAGCATAACAATCCGCCGTTGGCGGAATAATAAAGCATGGTAGACGATCATGCCTTGATATGCCTTACGCTGCCAAAGATGACAGACACGTGGTGAGGGCCGTCCTCACGCCGCAGCAGGACGCCCTGCGTCCAGTCTACTCGTCCTTTGTGCAGTTACCAGTTGGTCTTTGTAAAGATAAGGCTTTTGTGGACCGTCAGACTGATTAATGATATATTTTTTTGGTGGGTGATAAAGGTTTCTAAGCCATAGAGTATCTGTTTCATGAGGGGGTGGCATGATGCTGACGAGTCTGGGGTAGGACAGAACTTACTTAAGCATGGGAAGTGTAGTGAGTGGGTCCGAGTAGGTAGTGTCAATCACAAAGTTGTAAACAGGCAATAAGACTGATGGTGGAAACATTCGCCCCCCCCAAAGATTGTTTCACGCCAGCGATCCTCGTCAATGTCCGCGAGCAGTTGAGCGGTTAACGAATGCGGGGAACACAAGCGAATGGTGTAAGCAGCCCAGCCCAGCCCAGGGCAAGGGCGACGCAGGAGGCGAGAGTCAACCGGGACCGAGACCGAGGTGAGACGATGGGTGAGAAAAAAACAGGAGTGCAGGGAGTGCTGCGGCGTTGAGCGGATGGCTGTGTGGTGTGGGTAGCTAGTCGGCTGCAGCAGAGGGAGAACGGGGGGTGCGTCAAAAATGCCAATTCTACTGCATTCTGCAGCTGCATTCAAAAGGGAAAAAGGGAAGCAAGAGGGAGGAGAAACGTGGATTTGTGTGGTTAGTGTCCATTTCGACATGGGGAAGAAAGTCAAAGAAAGAGAGAGAGAGAGAGAGAGTGGGTGTGGTCTCTAACCATCCCCGATCCTCCTATTATTCTTATTCCTATGGAAGGACTGCACTGCTAGACCTGGTAATTTTCATTCATTAGGTGTTGTACATAGATCATCATCATATCGAACCTGCTGACGCTGTTGTTTGTGTGCCAGGCAGCGTCAGACGTATAGTGCAACCTTTCCCTCCAAACGATCACTCAGTTATGGTGTATTCCCATACCAACCGAGAATAAAAACGAAAAACACCTGGAAACTCCGTCTTCTTTTCTTGTGTTCCTTCTTCGTCTGAAGATCCGGAACGAATTCCACTCCAGAACATGCAAAATTCTCGCCCAAAGCGCCGTACCAAATGACGCCAGTTTTGTACTTTTAAGCGGGCGGGCGCCCGTTTCCCCCCAGAAGTGAGCGTAAGTAAAAGAGAATGAGTGTGTGTGTGTGTGTGGAGGGGGAGCGAAGGCGAAAGTGAGTGAGAATGAACATCTCACAGTCCGACCACACGCTACTCTTTCTCTCTTCTCCCACCAGAGAGGAAGTAAACGAGACAAACGAGGATGAATGGAGTAATCAAAATGAACGCCTCTTATGACCGACCGTGGGATCAGATCCCTTAGCAGCACGAACGATTCCGAAAGCAGACTAAGGCCTCCTTTTCCGGAAGGCCTAGCTAGGCCTCGTCCGCTCGCAGCAGCGCTTTGATCTCGAGAGCCTCGTCGACAATGAGAGCCCAGGTGTCAAGGATGTAGTCGCGCATCTCCATGAGCACCATGACCGTATACGCCGCCGTCATCATGGCGAGACAATAGAACGCCTGGACCAACGTCAGTCCCCAACACTTTTTATTTTTATTTTTTATCCGATCATCGTGATTCGTCATTGGAAGAAATGAAAGCGCATGCCCGAGCCGAGACAAGTAAGGAACGGGAAGACAACGACAAGGAAAAAAATAAAAATAAAAAAATAACAAAAAATAGGAATGATGTCAGAAAAAGCTTACCGACAGGACACCCAAATCCCCCCATCGCACCAGGACCAGCTCGCCCAGCCCGTAAAGGCCTTCGATGCCGGATGCGCCCCCGACGACCGCTCCGCCGTCCGATTTCGTGCTGTACATCATCCGCAACTCCTCGACGCTGCGGAATCCGTCGGGGACGCTCTGGAAGCCGTAATAAAACATGCCCACTGCAAGCGGCATGGGCAGCGCATGATACGCCCAGCAGAGGCTGGTAAAGACCCCCCTCACGACCATGGTGACCAGTTCTCTCGGCGGTCTTGTGATGTCCAGAACTCCTCTCAAAAAGTAGTCGAAAACGACGGCGACCATGGTTGCCAGGGGATGTAGTGGCTGGGGTTGTTGCTGGCGTGCTCGCTGCCGGGCCATCGTCGACGAGCGCCTCGACGATGACTTGGCTTGCTTAGCCTGTACAAGGGCGGAGAGCCTCGGAGCCGGGTTGTACAGGTGGTGTTTCTGGTAGTGGTAGTTGTGCGGCCCCGAGAGGCCGGCACTCATCATGGCCTTTTGCGTGAAGGTCTCCGTTGACATGATGTTTGACGGAAGCCGCCCCGGTATATATAGAAGACTGCGACGGATGGCGGGATTTCTGGATGAGAAGGGAAGTGGTTGGGGGAGGGCCTTTCTTTTTCGGACTATCCGAAGGGGACCCAGGTGAAGGGGCCCGAGATATAAGTTGGGTGTTGGGTGGGTGATGAGTGAACAGGTATCCGAGGAGAGCAGAGCCCGAGCTAGGACGACAGAGGAGGTGGTGCTCGAGCTTTATGACATGCAGGGTAACAAGGGCAGGGAAGGCCAAAAAAGAAAATCCCAAGAGACAGTTGAGACCTGAGAGAGAGAGAGAGCTAGAATAGCGTTTGCTGTGCCTTAGCGCGGTCTGCTAGCGACGCCGTTCTCGACGACACCGACTTATGCAGTACACGGAGGATTGTTGGCGGGGATTTGTTGATCGCAGTGCGTCAAGGTGGTGTCGAAGGACGATGTCTCTGCCGGGGTGCCGATCAGTTCATGCCTTTCTGCTTTAGGTGTGTTGAGGAGGAGGGGGAGGTCTTGGTGGTCGTGAGGGCAAGGTGAAGCAGACTCGCGCCCAGTCGTTTCCGGTCACCCACCGAAACCATCACTTACATACCCAAGTAGGTAGCATTGCGCTCGTCCAGCCCAGACGCAAGTAAGCATGCGGCACGCATACGCTGGGCTGATGGCTGATTGAGGAGCAATGTCCGAACCTGACGGGTTGGGGGGAAAGAAAAGGAAAACAACGGGCATCGGCACGCAGAGGAAATGTTATCGTCTCTGAAGAAGTGAAGTAAAATTGCTCTCATCATCTCCTTCTCTCTTTCTCCCCCATTCTCCGTAAACCCCTCTCAACCCCTGATTGCATCGACTCTCTAGATCATCGGTGTGCGAGCGAGCGAGCGTGCGTGCGTGCGTGCGTTTTAGTGTGCATCCGAAGACAAGAAACACCTTCTCTAAAGTAGTCTGTCTATCCAGCCAAGACAACAAGGCAGGAATGTTGTTTCTCAACACCACGCCAAATCGAAAGCAAGATCCTCCCCTATCCTCTGTATGACCCTGCAGACGGACGGTCAGATAATATGCAAAAGGTGAGGAGCTATGATGTTCTATGTACCGCCGCATGAAATTGTGCATGCATGCCAGAAAACAGACAAGAAACAAAAAAGGGGGTGGGCAGAATGTAGTACTATCGCAGTGAAAACACAAAAATAGACGCCAATCCACTCCGTGTTTCCCACGTTCCAATTATAAATCATCCTCGTTCATTTCTCCTGAAAGTGCCCCAGAAAAAAACAACAAAAAAAAAAAAAAAAACCCACGGCGGGAGCTCAACCGAAGCTGCGGAAACGTCATTATCCAAGCTTTGGTGCCGGACCTCCCCCGGTTGGCTGCTTCGCACGCCTCTTCTCCTCACGGACATGCCACTTTGATGCTAGCCTTTCGCATCCGACCGCTCCGTCTCAACCCGGCCTTATCTTCCCCTTCCCCGGAGTCTCTGCCCGTGTCACCCTCGAGTGTTTCCGACAGCCCCCCTGTTGGCCTCTTTCGACCCCGGATGCGCGCCTCATCGTCTCGTCCCAAGAATCGATGGATGATGCGGTGATCGAGGATGCGCTCCTCCTTATCCCGGGGTCCAGCCTTCTCCGTCTTGGGCCAGATATAGCCGTAAAGCTTGGAATGTCGCTCGCAGCGCGGGCACGAGCTTTTGGTGTAATACGCGTTTTGCTGCACAAAGGCCGTATCGCAGTTCATGCAGCGAACCCACGCAGTCTGAGGCTCTGATAGTAACAGTGGTGTAAGAGTGTAGTCGCCGGGCGTTCGGGTCTTTGCGGGTGGTGTGGTCTCTTTGATGAAGGTGCGCCGTTGATACTTGCGCTTCTTCAAACCTGCTGATGGCTTGCCGGCGGCCCCCGCCTCCACCGTCGTCTCATCAACCTCCGCACAGACTTCAGTATCGTCAGTGACCAGGGCAGAGTTCTCCGTCGGCACCCGTGCCTCGACCCTCAACGCCTTTACAATGTCGGAGTTACCGTTGCTCGGGACGTCTTGCTCGATTGACTCCACCGCCACGACCTTTGGCGTTTGCACTATGTGATCCTGGTGAGAGCTCCCGAATGCTTCGTTTGTTAAGGGAATCCTGTCAAACTGCATTGACTTCAAACCGCTTCTGCCAGGGCCTTCCGTTGTGCCCGCGTCAGGCATCATCGCCGGCTTTGTATCAATGCTGTTGCACACAGCCGCTGCAATGCTCATACGATCTTCTTGTCTTGCCGTTACACTTGTGATGCTCATCGAGTATGCCGTAGCAGTCCATCCAGACGGGCCCCTTCCCTTGAGTTTTGAGGGCGGGGACGGAGGATTGCAAAGAGAAGAGATGGGGATCGATCTGGAAGCCATGACGGATGCCGTTTGAATTGAAGCGGATGTTTTAACTGGCATCGCGGCCATCGTGCCCCTCTGGCCCTGCTGTTGCGGGGAGAAGGGCGCTGCATGGGCCAGGACCTGCCCCGTGGACTCTTCGCATTCCTCCTCCTTGACGAGGTCCGACCTCTTCTGGCTGTGGCTGGGTTCCGGCGTGTCCTTCTCCGGCTCAGTGATGTCTGTCACCGAGCCATCTTCGTTTCCGCCGCTCGTCAACGACATGCTGCGCACGGACCCGGAGGCCGAGCTGTCTCTTGAACTAACAAGCGCTTCTGCGGAAGGGGCCGTGACTGCTTGTGTTGCTGATAGCTTTCGTCTCTTGGAAGGTGTGATGGGCGGCGTGACAAGCAAGTCGAAAGACAGCTTCTTGTCCGTTGATAAGACATCGGACATGGGCGAGCCAACTGCGAGCGAATCGCGGTTGGACTTTCCACCTCTCAAACGGGACTTGGACACCCGGGGCCGAATATTTGGTGTAACGGAAGGTGTTCGGGATGAAGGACCACTACTGTCGTCCCTTCTCCGCCGCCGCAACGAATATCCGTCGATGGCAGACTCTTCGATACTCCTCTTGACCACTACCCCCCCTCGGCCGGCGCCCAACCGTTGGTGCACCGATCCTCACATGTCTTGCAGAGGCATTCGCAATTGTCCTCCCCAAAATAGTTTTCAGCATATGTGACCGTTATCTCCTCTCCAACATCAATGTTCCTTGTCGCAATGATTTCAATCGTCGCCGAGGATGTCGTCATGAGCTTCGCGTTGGCCCCGCAGTCGTGGTTCGCAAACCGAGCCGGGCCCATGAACAGGCTGGCGCACTTGCTTCTCGCAGAGATGATGATGCTAAAATCCTTTTTACGGGCCGTCATCTCGCGCTCCTCCTCGGGTGAAATGTTGACCTGGGTTCCAGCCAGGTACTTGACCGTCTCGTTCCTCCGGATGAAGCGTCGGGCAGTGATCGCGGCTTCATGCGACACAATCGTATACCGATTTGTTGAATTGACCTCAAAGGGGCAGTCGGGAAGGTAGACTTGGGTGTAGCGGCGCATGTGGCGCTTGAAGTCATCCTTCGCCTTGTCCGTCTTGAGGGCGGCGAAAAACTTGCGGAAGCCATCGGTGGCTAGCAGCTTGCTCTCGGCGGCTTCGAGATCCTTCTTGACGATAATTTCCTCCTGGATGATCCGAGTGATGTCCTCTTCGCGCACGCCTCGGGAAGGGTGATACGAGTTTCGGTTTTTGGGTATTGTAGTCCAGTAGAAAACCTGTGAGGTGTCAGCTTTGTCAGTCTTCCAGAGCCGAGGATGTAACTCCCGGGCCGGACCAAACGGCGTACATGGTCAACCAGCGCATCCGTCAGGAAATCGTCGTAGGAGGCAAGTTGCGCCAGGGTCAGCGTCTGCTTTTGCTTCTGCTTCTTGGCCGCAGCGCAAGAGGGCGGCATCTTGAGGTAGTTCTCGTAGCCGTTGCAACTGTCAACCTCGGCGCAATGAATGTGGATGAAACAGATAGGCAAGCAAAAGCGGAAAAGGTTGAAAGAGCGTCGACAGGCTCCAGCTTCGGCGCACAGAGCAAAGAGTGGACGAAGGAGCCAAGGTCGGCTGTTGGGCCCCCTTCGATAGCCCACGCAAAGCACAAAAAACGGCTGTGGGGAGTATGAGTGGCAGCTGGGTCGAGATGTGTCGCAGGTGTCCACTGAGGGTCGGGAGCAGTCGTAGGTGCAACTAGGGAGAGGGCTGTTGCCGTTCCAAAAAAAGACGCAAGATTCGGGTGATTAAAGGGTCAGCTCGGGTTGGGTATCGTCATTTCTTCCGGTTCAAGGGGGCAATAAACAAGCAACGAGGATAGGCCAGTCTGAGTATGCGGGCGGTGGGGATTCAATGCGCAAGGCCGGAGATCATATGAGCGAGACTAGCTGTCTCTCTGCCGAGATACAGGATGAAGAAATGAATGAATATGGGGAGCAAAATAGCTTAACCCTCCAAAAGGGAGACCGGACTGACAGTAGGCGACGCAGGGACGGATAATGAGGTTGATAGCGAAGTGAGATGAGGGAGTGAAATGAGAAGCGAGAATGAATGAGGTGAGGTTGGGCTGGGCTGGCCTGAAAGGGACAATGGAAGTCGCCCGTCTGTCCCAGTTTAATTCGCTCTTTCCCAACCAAGCGCAAGAGTTGGTTTTCCGCTTATGGCAATAGGTACGTACGTGTGTGTGTGTGTGTGTGTGTGTCCCTCTCCAGCTCAATTCAGTTCCTGCAAAGCCCAATCCAACAGAGTAAGCCCAGGGGAGGAAGAGAAACGGCACAGGCTCGCGGGGGAGAGAGAGAGAGAGAGAGAGGAAGATAGCGAGAAGGAAACAATGGATTGCGCCTTGAGTCGGGCGGTTTGAGCCAATGACGAGTTACAAACCGTCAATCATCATTGGGGTGACACCCCCAGCTGAGACGTCAAAATAGTCGCACAGACCAAGCTTGGAAGGCGGTCTCAGCCAATCAGATGTACGTCAGCCGGTGTAGCCAGCTCAGCTTCAGCAGCCCAGCAACCAGAACAGGGACCCGCTTCCAAATCAATGATCTGGAAGGATGCCGGGTCTACGTTCTGCCGTTATTCCGGCGGCCCTCCGAATTTCAACTTTGCAGGTCCACCTATTCGAGATGGTTCAGCGACAGTGACCAGCCAGCTAGGGGATATCTGGTAATCCATAGCCCACTACACACCGCGCCGCCAGAATGATTCAATTAAAGGTATCTCGTTGCTCCCGATGCGCCTTCAAATCTTCGTGTATGCTGACATAATGCCAGACAATGCTACAATGCATCGACAACTCGGGCGCCGCAATGGTCGAGTGCGCGATGGTTGTCGGCCAGAAGAAACTCGCCCGCATTGGTACGAATCCCCCGCTGCCCACAACGGAACCCCCTAGCTCGCGATCGAAGTCGACTTACAACATGAGAATGGAATAGGTGACAGGATAGTTGTCGTCGTCCAGAAGCACCGCGGCGCTGGTGATGGTGGTATGGCCGGCTCTTCGGCCGCGAACAAGGTCAAGCGCGGTGACATGCGCCACGCCGTTGTCGTCCGCACCAAGCAGAAGACCACGCGCCCCGACGGCAGCGTCATCCGATTCGACGACAACGCCTGCGTCCTGATCAACAAGGCTGGCGACCCTGTCGGTACGCGCATCAACGGTGTTGTTGGCGCTGAGCTGAGGAGGAAGAAGTGGAGTAAGATCCTGTCCATGGCGCCCATGCACGCATAGGAGGACAGTTGCTGGGTTGTGGATGACGTAGAAGCTACCTAGACGTGTAGCATGTATGTGTACATGTACAGGAAATTCATCACCGGTATGTGGGAGTGTATTATAGAAAAGCATGAGCCGGCGTTATTAAGGTTGGCAGACGATACCAATCTCCATCAAACACAAAGACCATTCACAAAGTGTAAGAAATCATCCCAAGCTCAGGAGGTGATGTAATCGACAATGAGCCTGCCCGGTTGTGGGACATCCATTATTGAGTATTATAAAGCTGAAGACAAGAACCGTGACCCCGTAGCCATTCCCCCCTCCATTTGAAAGCTCAAACGCCATAATACTCCGTACGATGCAATTCTTTTTCTGTATCCTCCGCCAACACAATCCTCGGGTATCGTCAGAGGTCGCATCTTTTACTGGAAGATGTGACCACAATCGCAGCAAACGTAGAACAATTTCTGCAGACACGCAGGTCAGCCAGTTGTGCCCCTCAAAGGGATTAGGCAATAGGTTAGACATACCATACCCGTCTCGGCGCTTCGCTGCTGAGACTGGAAGAAGACGGCCTCGCCGCCCCTGCAAACGGGGCATTCCTTGTTCGATCGTGGAAGCTAGATCCGGGCAAGATGCAGCGTCAGCCAGCTGATCACAAAGGAGGTCTCGAATCCAAAGTGGAAGCAAAAATCCATTGCAACAGCCAACCCAGCACCACCGGGCGGGGGGGAAAGATGGAGCGGGATATCCTGGAAGGATTTCGTGTCGCAAATGTCAAATCACTGGTTGGCCGCAAGCTGGAAGGTTGGCCACGAGACATTGCGGTTCGCCGAGGTGGGCTCCTGGTTGAGGGTGATGCCGGCAAGGCCTTGGTTGATGTTGTCGGAGGTGACCGACTCCTTCTCCTCGTCGTACTCATCGAGAGCTTCGTCTTCGGCCATGTCCATCAGGTCGTCCCACGTGATTTCCGTCTTCTTGCTCTGGGAATCGCCGGGCTGGACAACGGCGGCCGAGACATTGAAGTCGTCGGACGGGTTGCCGCAGCCACTGCACAGGATGGCGTAGCCGCAACCGATGCATACAACAGGGGCAAGAATAGACTGGGAATCACCTACAGTAGGATCCGAGCCCACGTCCTGGGTTACACCAGCCGTCTCGCCGGCGGCGTTATTCATGATGTTGCGAAAGACGCAAGTCGACTGGGCTTCCTCGGTAAACTGGCAGGTTCTGCAAGTGAACTGGAGGCGATGAGTTTCTTCGTCCTCCTTCGGATAGAGCATGTTGGAGCATTCGGAGCAGAAGCGGAAGGTGATCTGCTCGAGCTTCTTGTTCGCCTCGTCCTGAGAGGTGGTGGACATTGGGGTCGCCATCGTGTCGGTCGGTGGGTCGGTCGCGAAGCGATTCGGGTATCGAGGGAATGGATTTAGTTTCGGATAAAACAATGCGATGCTTTCTTTCTTAGGTGGTATCGCGAATAACTGCTAGCCAAAATCGAGTTTGTTTGTTGTTGTCTTTTTTCTGCGAGCCGATGGAGGTTGGTGTGGTGTTGTTGAAAAGTCAAGTGCAGACAGATAGGATAGGTTGAAAAGGCAAGGAGTTGCAGCACAAATAACGAAAGGTGCACGGCTTCCTTTTGCGTGAATGTGTGGCGGGAGGTAACAAAAAGGTGGGGCTATCGGTCAGCAACGGACCTGCCTGATTTTAGGTCACCGTATCACCAAGAAGGTATGTTAGTGAGTCACTATCTAGTTGAAGCACTACTGAGGTATAGTAATTCCTTAAAGCCCAAGCAGCCTTAGTTAATAGGGGAATTTATTTACAAGACTTTATGTTACTGTGTTTCTATTTAGGAACCTTCTTCTATTGTCCAGTACTAGGCATAATGCTTATACTTGGTTTTTCAGACTGTGTCAGGGTGCAATTATGTACTTGCGTGAAGCCGTAGGAGGGACTGCTCTGTACATGTACCTCAGTCTAGGTAAGGTATCGCTTTCAGAAGAAGGCAGCTGCCTTGGAAATTGAGTCGGCATTTTGGAGTTGGCGTTGAGTTGTTGTTTCAGTGATGCTTGCCTGTAGCCCATTGCCCCGGCGTCATCTGAGGCTCTTTGGATCAATATAAGCAGAGCCATCCGCGTTTAAATCAAGGTGCGACATGATAATCCAGCCGAACATATCTTGAAACCTCTGTACTGTACATAGTTGAAGGACGTTCTCAGGAAACTCGTTCATGGAACAGGGAGCTGGCTGACTCATCACGTGAAGTTTGACCAATATCCTTTTGGTGGCTTGTGGTGCCTGGATTCACCAGCTACGATTTAGAGCGACTGCAAGCCTTCGAGTCTACAGCTACATACTAGCAACGCATTTATATCGAATGCGGTGAATGGTGGAAGTCCTATCCGATTATTCTAGAAAGTAAGAACAATGTGTGTCACATAAAAACTGACACCTGGTGCAGTGAACTCGGCTTTGAAGCAGGGTCCACACACACTCTTGGGGAGCGGAACGACAGAATTGAGGGTGAGATTTGCTCAATCGAATCAGAAACCTGACGAGGCAGCCACGATATACTTTAGCCCACGTGATGCAGCAGATAGAGGACCTACCTTGGTAAGGTACATACCTATACATACCTATACAAGGCCGTCGCTCTTCAAGGTCGCAAAGGTCTTCCCCGCCTTGCAGGTGGTTGGTGCTTGGTTGCTTCCCTGTCGCTACCAGAGGTCAGCAGATCCACCCCGTAACACACCCCTCATTTGTGTTCTTTCCGCCAACGCTTGCTGGTGTGGCCGCTCCTGCTGAAGCTTGCCTGTCCCCGCCTTTCTAGGTACGTGACTTCCTACCTACCTACAGATGGTACCTACAGGCAGGTGGTACGGTGTGTTTTTTTTTTTTTTTTCTTCTTTTCTTTGCAGAGTGAAGGAGCAACCCGTAACCCCGGCAGCCGCACGTCATCCTCCAGCTCCAGTCCCATCCCCCAATCCTCTCGTCCAATCCACCATTGCATTTAACCCGAAAGAACATCTTGCTCTTGTTCCCCTGCCTGTATCTGGATCACCAACCCTAGTTCAGTCCCATCTAGTCCAGTCTAGCTTATTTAGCCCAACTCCGACTGCTTGCTTGTACTTTTGCTACTTCGGCACCCACCTCGCCGTATCCTTCAACTTGCCTTCTACATCCTCTGTCTATTGCTGCGCT